CTGCACACATATTTGTTCATGACTAAGACTGAGTTCCACTCGCAGCGGCCACAACTGCACCGCGTCCACAGAGGCTTGGACTGTGGTGGCGGCGTCATGGCAGCGAGCAGAGAATGCTAACTCATTCCTCGGTGTTGGTCGCAGGACTGGGCGAGCTGGTCTCGCCGATCCTGGGTCCCTCAAGCCGATCCTGGGTCCCTCAAGCGCTGCGTGGAAGCCCCGAGGACTGACCCCTGCCAAAACGGCTCGGGCCAGATTGCTTGAGGGATGCGGAGGAGGAGGAGGAGGAGGCGGAGGAGGAGGAGGCGGAGGAGGAGGAGGAGGAGGAGGTGGCGGAGGAGGAGGAGGAGGGGGAGGAGGAGGAGGAGGAGGAGGAGGAGGAAGAGAGGGAGGAGGAGGAGTAGGTAGGAGGTGGAGGAGCAGGGAGGAGGTGTCCCCGCTCCGCCCCCCGCCGCCCTCAGCAGCAGCGCACCTCGAGCTTCCCAGGCCACCTTGCGGCCCCGTGCGAATCGACGCTGGCCGACGCGAGCCAACACCGCCTTGGCGCCAACTAGTCGACGCTAAATCGACGCTGCATCGTCGCTGCCTCATCGACTCCCCTGACCTTCCAGGAGGGCTGAAAAATAGCACGCGACTTAAAAACCTATCCCAGAGCTATTCTACGTCTTGGTTTTAGGCTGTTTCGTTTCGTTTTTTAAGCTTTTAGGCCTCCCGTGCTAAAGAATAGCTCTCTGGAAGGTCAGGGTCATTGCCAGGCGCTGTCGCACGCGAGTGCGCTCTGAGGACGGAGTTGCGATGACACACTTTTTGATCCGCGGGTCGAGAGCGCACCTCTTCCGGTCGAAGCTGAGCGGGCCGCGCACAGCTTGAATTAATAAAGAGGGGGGCAGAAGGAGGGGCCTCACACCAAGGCCAGGAGGATACGATGACACACACACACACAATGACGAACGAGCAACACACACCCATACCCATAGGGGGGTCGTGGGTATGGGTGCGGGTTGTCGGACCCTGGGGAACGCTCCCGTTCGAGCAGGGACCCCCATCCGACAACACGCACCCATGGCCCTCTCCGCCCCCCCTATGGGTATGGGTGTGTGTTGTTGGTTCGTCACACAAGGCTCCCGTGATCCGGTGCCGCCGGCCGTCGTCCTCTCGGGGCGGCCGAGCGGGGCGGCCGAAAACTGGGCGCACGGGGAGGTCGCGCACCGGCTCCTGGCTCGGCTGCAGGCAAGGAGTGACCTTCGAAAGGATAAATCTTTTTGATGCGCGGCCGTGAGTTCTCCGCGTGTTGAGAGCGCGAGCGCCTCCCGTGCCTCGGGGCTGTCGAGGCTGCGGCACAAGTCTGCCATTTGTTCAGGGAGGGGCCCAGCGGCAGCCAAGCGGCAGCCCCGCGCTGCACGGGAAGCACCCGCCGTCCACAGTGGCTGCTGCACACGCTGCAGCTTCCGGTCGTGCCGGAGGTTGATCGACCTCCTGCCTTGACGCGTCGATTGGCGGAAGGGGGCCAAACCCCCAAAGCGCGCAGGCAGCTGCCATCGCACCGCACTCCACGATCGGGGGGCCCCAATGGGCCCGCGCCAGAGGTCACTCCGGCGGAGGATGACTCTGACGTGCAATCGACACCACGGCTCGTGGCTATCGCACCGCGCTCCAAGATCGGGGGGCCCCAATGGGCCCACACCAGAGGTCACTCCGGCGGAAGATAGCTCTGACGTGCAATCCGGACGCTCCCGCCCTGCGGGTTGGGCCGTGCGGGACCTCTTTGACAGAGTGTTTGGCACAGTCTCTAGCCCCATTCGCCAGTGCCTGGTCAAAAACCTCCCTGAAAGTCCCTCCGAGGGTGGCGTTTCGTGGCCCAATAGGGAGCTCCACCGAAGGCCCCAGTGGGGGTGCCCGCGTGCGTCCCCCCACTCAGTACAGCGCTTCGTGACCCCATAGGGAGCCCCACCGAAGGCCCCACTGGGGGTGCCCGCGTGCGTCCCCCCACTCAGTACAGCGCTTCGTGACCCCATAGGGAGCCCCACCGAAGGCCCCAGTGGGGGTGCCCGCGTGCGTCCCTCCCACTCAGCACAGCGCTTCGTGGCCCCATAGCTCCACCGAAGGCCCCACTGGGGGTGCCCGCGTGCGTCCCTCCCACTCATCGGGAGCGGCAAAGAGGGGGGCGTCAAAGAGGGGGGGGTGCAAATCATGACCGGCGGCATGTGCGCGGCCCAGCGGGGGGGCCAGGGACGTAATGAAATAAGAAGGGGCGCCATGAAATCTGGGGAAATATCATGGCCCCCGCCATGATATCCACCCCCCCCTGTCATCACCCCCCTCTTTTCCGCTCCCGACGCGTGGCGTCCCCCCCCCCCCCGCCCGCCCAGGGCAGCACAGCGCTCCGTGGCCCCACGGGGGGGGGAGCTCCACCGAGGGGGGCGGCGCCTGGGCCACGCGCGGGCTCTGCTCTCTTGTGCGCCGCCATTTGGGGAAGGCATGCGCAAAACAACAAAAACTCGCTTCCTCCAAACATCGCGCGGACGTCTATTCCCTGTTTTTTTTTTTTTTTTTGGTTTCGTACGTTTTTTTGTTATATATATATATATACATATATATAATATATATATATATATATATATATATATATAAATTATTTTTTTCGCCACATGATCAAGGATGCTCCTCGATGGTCCTCGCCGAAGGAGAAATGCACACGTCCGAGCAGTGCCGATTCCTCCAAACATCTGGATTCGCTGCCTCATGCGATGCGCCAGCTGTGGTGCAGAAGGGAGCTGGTGGCTCCGAAGGCATGTGTTTCCTGCGATTCGCCCGATGTTCCATGAGACGGGCGGGACTGATTTCCGCGAAATCGCAATTCGGGATCAGGCATGTTTGCCCTCTGCCTTCCTGGTCGATTTTCTGACACCAGATGGAGCACTGGGCGTACTCGTAGTCAAACTTCGCGTCTGCGGCTATGAGAGCAGAAGCTTCTGGTACTCTCCGAATGCCGGAGAAGCAGAAGGCTGCAAGCGCGCAGTCTCGGGCACCCGCAGCCGAGCCTGCGACGAGGCGGGCTCGGATGAAAGACAAAAGTTCGCCGATTGAAATTGCATCTTTGGGTGGCTGTCGTGTCTCGCTCTCTTTATGAGCCCCCTCCAAAATAATGCTGGTCCCAGCAGGAGTCGAACACGCAATCGAGAACCCCGGCACATATGCAAGGCTCGAAATACAGCCTTGTTGAACTGAGTGCTAGATCGAGACGTTCCGTCTTTTCCGGCTACCGGACCGGGCATGCGCGCTTCTCTGGAACTCGCTGGTGGCGCCAGAGCGGCACTTCGCCGCAAAGCCACGCCCTCTCTCATTTTCGGGCCCTGAAAGCATTCGTTATCTGGGGCCCTGAAAGGCCCCTCCAGAGGCCCTAAAGAGCCCCTTTTCGGCAGACCCCGCTGCCCTTCCATGCATCGCCCCCCCAATGACCCTCGCCTGCCTCTTCGGCCGGAGGGCCTGCCATGGTCTGAAAGCTGGTGGAAAGCCAACGGAGGCTTGGCCCATGGACATCCCCGCTGCCCTCATCAGAGAAGGACTCCGCCAGGGTCCGACAGCTCATGGGCACACTCCTTACCCAACGCTCCCACGGTACCACTCGGCGCCGTGGTCCTCATTCTCATCCTCTCCGGGCTCCCTCCCCAGGTGAGCGTTTTCTTATTCGGCGTTTCGACATTGTGCGGAAGGGGTGGGGGGGGAGGGTCTTGGCCCTGGACCTCTGCAGAGTGCGACTGTTTGCAGCAGTGCGTCCTGGGAGGGCGACTCCACCTGCTCGAAAACAGGCGCCTGATCCACTCCGTAGGGGGGGGGGGAAGGGTGGGTGGCGAGGGCCCGCCCCGATCGGCAAAAGAAATGAATAAATCGGGGTTGGACAGAACCCCCTTTAGTAAAACGTGGTTTAGTGAAAACGACCTGAGGCCCAAACCTGGCGGGCGCAAGCATGGAAAATAACGGCCACGGCGCCCTCTCGAGAACCGAAAACGGACAATTCCCTAATCGACGTGTCACTGTTGGGGGTTCTGTCCACCCCCGAGAATAAAACAACGCTCACCAGACACGTGGCGTGAGGATGTCTTCCGCGCGCGGTCCCTGAAGCCCCGACCCTTTGTGAGAGCCCAGGGCCCGCTCTTCCTCCCGAGCCGCGTGTTTTTTGACGGCCCCGCGGCCCGGCGAGGCTCCCCCGGGGCAGAAGAGATGGCCAGAGGACAGCTCGTCGCGACTGCCTCACGACGCGAGGAGTGGGTGGTCTCCTCCTCCTTGTTCTCCTCCTCCTCCTCCTCCTCCTCCTCCTCCTCCTCCTCCTCCTTGTTCTCCTCCTTGTTCTCCTCCTCCTCCTCCTCCTCCTCCTCCTCCTCCTCCTCCTCCTCCTCCCCTTCCTCCTCCTCCCTCCCCCTCCCTCTGCCTGCCTGCCTTGGCCTGCCTCGGCCCGTCGCCGAGTGCCTCCCTGCCATCCCAGTTCCTCCTCCTCCTCCTCCTCCTCCTTCCCCTGCCCCGCCCGAGTGTTGGCCTCGGTTCAGCAGCGGTTGCGTGCCGTCGTTTCGGAATCGCCCATCTCGGATCCCTCCCCGTCCCTGGTGGAGCCTTCGCCCATTCCGCCGTCCGGCGGGAGCGCAGGAGCTACAGGGCGGTCGCCTCCTTCGGATTGAGAGCGCTGGGATCCGAGTCGCGTCTGTCCCATCCTCCCCCACCGCACGGTCTGCTTGCCAAAATGTTCCTGGTGGACTTGTTTTCCACCGCCACCACAATAAGCAGGAGGGGGAGGGGCTCCTCCTCCTCCTCCTCCTCCTCCTCCTCCTCCTCCTCCTCCTCCTGCTCCTCCTCTTCCTCGTCCTCCTCCTCCTCATCCTCCACCTCCTCCCCCCCTCCAACTTCTGGTGGCGGTGGTGGTGGAAACCAAGCCCATCAGCTCCCAAGCACTCCTTCCCCTGTCCTCCCTCCTACCTCCAAGACTGCGGGCCCGGGCGGCGAGCCGCCACGGCGCCCGTGAGGCCGGCGTCCGGCGGCTTCAGGCTGCCGCAGCGGCGGCAGTGCGTGTTCCTCCCCGCCGCTGCTTGCTGGGAGTCGGGCGGGTGGCACAGGCCTCGGAAAAAAATAGCGAACACTCATGCCACATTCATCTGTGAACGCCTCCCCCTCCCCCCAATGTTCAACGTTGGCGGTGGGTCTGATGAGTTGCACCTCGACCGCAGTCTCCCCCGCGCGTGCCAACCTTGAGTTTGGGGGGCAGGGGGTTGTTCACTAATTGTTTCCCTCTACCGCAGGAGGGGGGGGGCCCACAGTGCGGGCGCTGCCGCAAGAAACCCTCGCAGGAAGCCCAGCCCTGAAAACCCGCGCGCGAGGCGCACCTGAGGGGAGGCCCGAACACCCCGAACGCAGCAGCTCCTTCAACGGCTGCGGGAAGTCGCCGCGCAGCGCGCGGAGCGAAGAGAAGCCCACGACATCCTGACGAAAAGCGTATGGTTTCTTGATGCGCGCCCCCGCTGCAACTAAATGAGGGGGGTCAGGAGAAGAGCCATGAAGAGGCTCCTGTAGGTCCCTCTTCGTGACCCCGCGTTCGCTTATGGGGAAACCACAAGGGACAGGTACCGCTACTCTCCAGGCCTCTCCTGGGGCGCGTTCTGACCAGAATTTTGAGGCGCATCCAGCGGTGGCGACGAAGGCCTCCCAGGAGGCTCAAAACAAGGAAAACGAGGGAAGGATAGCGGTATGGGTCCCGTTTCCTCCTCCGAATTGTTTTGCGCTTCGCGCTGAGAGAAACGCGAATAACTTCGCTCTCTCGCGCCGTCCCCCAGGGGAAGGAGGCTGAGGAGGAAGAACCGCGAAGCGCGAACAAATTCGCGCCCTCGAGGGCGCCACTGATTTAGGTCCGTGCGGGCGTTGTCGGAAACACTAAACTCAAACATGTTCTCATCTTCTGGGGGCACATCTTTCACTTCCGCCGCCTTCCGCCGAGCTTCTGCCGGCTTCCGCCGGCGGAGGCGGCCTCGTTTTACTTCCGCCGCCCTTCCGCCGCCTCCCGCCGAGGAAAAAATGACAACTCCATGGGTCCTCGGAGGCAAGGCCCTGTCCGAAACGCCTCACGCCGGCCTGCCCCCCCCCCACCATCACCCGCCCGAAGGGGAGGGGGGGGGGGGGAGGGGGAGGGGGAGGGGGAGGAGGAGGAGGAGGAGGAGGAGGGGAGGAGGAGGAGGAGGAGGAGGAGGAGGAGGAGGAGGAGGAGGAGGAGGAGGAGGGAGAAGGGAGGAGGAGGAGGAGGAGACCACCCACTCCTTGCGTCGTGAGGCAATCGCGACCGGCTGTCCTCTGGCCATTTCTTCGACTCTGTCGGGCTTCGGGCTGCGCACCCGAACGGCGGCACCAACGCCTCAACGCCCGAGGGGCGCGCGGAGCGCCCTGGGGGCGTTGCCGGAGGCGGCGCTGGGGTGCCGAGGCTTCCCCCCAGGCCCAGGAGGTGACTCCCGGAAGGTCTTCGCTGGAACGATGAAGCCGGAAGACCGATCGGGATGGAGGCGGAGCAGCCCAGATGAAGCAGTGGTCGGCCGCGAACATGCCAGCGCCGAGACAAAACTGTTCCTCCCAGGAGCTGCGCCCGAGCCAAGCTCTTCGGGGGGCCTGTTGAGGCCAGCTGGCACTGCCTGTGGGACCTGTGGGGGCCAGCCGGGACTACCTCGGGGGGCTGTCCGCTCGCAGCTCGAGGCCTCACCGAGAGGCAGCGGGGGAGACGGGGATCTCCTGGCCCGGGTCAGTCCAGACCCGGGTCAGTCAGGACTTGCAGAATCCTGCAGTATGATGCAAGACCCTGCGCCCAAGCCCGGGTCAATGCGAACGATCCCGCAGGATCCTGCGGGAGCCTGCACCCAAGCCCGGGTCGATGCGACCCTGGCCCCTGCAAGATCCCGCAGGATCGCGCGCTCCGGCCGACCCCCGTCTGCATGGACCCCCGTCTCAAGGCTCCCGGGAGAGGATACAACTCTTTGAGCCGGCGTTCGTTCCCCGATGTGGGCCCTCGGGAGCAGTGTCCGAACCCAGGGGCTACGAGAAGTATGTCAGGGGCACGGGGGGGAGCGGCCGAGACTCTGTGGGCCGCGGATCGGCAGCAAACATACCGAGGGATGCCGGGGAGTGGATGGCCTGGGCCAGGGAAGGATGAGAGGCGGGTGGACACGCAACAGTGGCAGAAAGCGAGGAGGAGACAGGAAAGAGGGGGGGACATGCAGAGAGGGAGGGAGAGAGACAGAGAGCACGACGGCGCATCCGATGAGGCAGCATCAGAGACCCCCAACGCCAGGTGGCGACAGAGCAAAACCCAGATGAGCAGGACTTCGGAGGACGGCTACCAAACGTGCAGACGGATGCAGTGAGAGGACAGGCGAAGGAAGGATGATGAGGAACAACTTTTTGCCTTTCCCCTGTCGTCCCTCCCGCCCTCTCTCTCTCTCTCTCTCTTTTTGTCTCTCTCTCTCTCTTGCTCTCTCGTGCGCGAGCCTCACGGACAAACGACTGGGGTAAAGTTATCCTGGCGAAGGGCCAAGCCATATGCAGTTGTGAGAATCGCCATTGTGGGTATCGCCTTCGGTGGAGCTCCCTACGGGGCCACGAAGCGTGTGTGGGGTGAGCTGACATGGGTGCGGGGCCGCCATGCGAACGCTGCAAATGGTGCCTTCGGTGGAGCTACCGATGAGGCCACGAAGCGTGCGATGGGTGTGCCGACATGGGCGCGGGGCCGCCATGCGAACGCTGCGAATGGTGCCTTCGGTGGAGCTCTCTATTGGGCCACGAAGCGTGTGTGGGTGTGCCAACATGTGTGCTGGGCCGCCATGCGAACGCTGCCACTGGTGCCTTCGTGTAGCTCCTTCTGCCCTATGGGGCCACGAAGCGTGTGAGGGGTGTGCAGACATGGATGCGGGGCCTCAATGCGAACGCTGCCGCTGGGGCCTTCGGTGGAGCTTCCTACGGGGCCACGGAGCGTGTGAGGGATGTGCAGACATGGGTGCAGGGCCGCCATGCAAACGCTGCCACTGGTGCCTTCGGTGGAGCTCCCTACGGGGCCACGGAGCGTGTGAGGGGTGTGCCGACGTGGGTGCGGGGCCGCCGTGCAAACGGTGCCACTGGTGCCTTCGTGGAGCTCCCTATAGGGCCACGGAGCGTGTGAGGGGTGTGCAGATGTGTGTGTGTGTGTGTGTGTGTGTTTCTGTGTGTGTGTGTGTGTCTGTGTGTCTGTGTGTATGTGTGTGTGTGTGTGCGTGCGTGTGCGCGTTCGTGCGCGCGTGTGTGTGTGTGTGTGTGTGTGTGTGTGTGTGTGTGTGTGTGCGTGCGTGCGTGCGTGCGTGCGTGCGTGCGTGCGTGCGTGCGTGGGTGTGTGTGCGTGTGTGCGTGTGTGCGTGTGTGCGTGTGTGCGTGTGTGCGTGTGTGCGTGTGTGCGTGTGTGCGTGTGTGCGTGTGTGCGTGTGTGCGTGTGTGCGTGTGTGCGTGCGTGTGTGCGTGTGTGCGTGTGTGCGTGTGTGCGTGTGTGCGTGTGTGCGTGTGTGCGTGTGTGCGTGTGTGCGTGCGCGTGTGCGCGTGTGCGCGTGTGCGCGTGTGCGCGTGTGCGCGTGTGCGCGTGTGCGCGTGTGCGCGTGTGCGCGTGTGCGCGTGTGCGCGTGTGCGCGTGTGCGCGTGTGCGCGTGTGCGCGTGTGCGCGTGTGCGCGTGTGCGCGTGTGCGCGTGTGCGCGTGTGCGCGTGTGCGCGTGTGCGCGTGTGCGCGTGTGCGCGTGTGCGCGTGTGCGTGTGCGCGTGTGCGCGTGTGCGCGTGTGCGCGTGTGCGCGTGTGCGCGTGTGCGCGTGTGCGCGCGTGCGCGTGTGCGCGTGTGCGCGTGTGCGCGTGTGCGCGTGTGCGCGTGTGCGCGTGTGCGCGTGTGCGCGTGTGCGCATGTGCGCGTGTGCGCGTGTGCGCGTGTGCGTGTGCGTTTGTGGCGTGTGCGTGTGCGTGTGTGTTGTGTGTGTGTGCGTGTGCGTGTGCGTGCAGTGTGTGCGTGTGTGTGCTGTGTGCGTGTGCGTGTGCGTGTGCGTGCGTGTGTGGTGTGGTGTGTGTGTGTGTGTGTGCGTGCGTGCGTGCGTGCGTGGGTGCTGTGTTGTGCGGGCGTGCGTGCGTGTGTGCGTATGTTGTGTGTGGTTTGTGTGTGTCTGTGTCTGTGTCTGTGTTGTGTCTGTGTCTGTGGTGTCGTGTCTGTGTGTCGTGTCTGTGTCTGTCTGTCTGTCTGTGTGTGTGTGTGTGTGTGTGTTGTGTGTGTGTGTGTGTGTGTGTGTGTGTGTGTGTGTGTGTGTGTGTGTGTGTGTGTGTGTGTGTGTGTGTGTGTGTGTGTGTGTGTGTGTGTGTGTGTGTGTGCCGTCATGCGAACGCTGCCACTGGGGCCTTCGGTAGAGCTCCCTATGGGGCCACGAAGCGTGTGCGGGGTGTACTGACATGGGTGCGAGGCCGGCATGCGAACGCTGCCACTGGGGCCTTCGGTGGATCTCCCTATGGGGCCACGGCGAGTGTGAGGGGTGTGCCAACATGGGGGCGGGGCCGCTATGCGAACGCTGCCACTGGTGCCTTCGGTGGAGCTCGCCATGGGGCCACGAAATGTGTAAGAGATGTCCCGAAATGAGCGGCCGGGGACGGATGCGGGCGGCGCAAGTGGTGCCTTCGGTGGAGCTCCATATGGGCCCACGAAAAGTGTAAGGGGTGTGCCGAGATAAGCGGCCAGGGACGCATGCGGGCGGCGCCACTGGGGCCTTCGGTGGAGCTCCATATGGGGCCACGAAACGTGTGAGGGGTATGCCGAAAAGAACGGCTGGGACGCATGCGGGCGGCGCCACTGGGGCCTTCGGTGGGGCTCCCCATGGGGCCACGAAGTGTGTGAGGGGTGTGCCGAACTGAGCGCCTGGTGTACATGCGGGCGACGCTACTGGGGCCTTCGATGGGCTTTCCTGGTGGGCCACGAAACGTGTGAGGAGTGTGCCGAAATGAACGGCTGAGACGCATGCGGGCGGCGTCGGTGGAGCTCCCGAATGGGCAACGAAACGTGTGACGGATGTGCCGAAATGGGCGGCTGGGACGCATGCGGGCGGCTCCCTAGTGGGCAACGGCACGTGTGAGGGGTGTGTCAACATGAACAGCTGGGACTCATGCGGGCGGCGCCACTGGGGCCTTCGGTTGGGCTTCCTACGGGGCCAAGAAGCGTGTGAAGGATGTGCCGAAATGGGCGGCTGAGACGCATGCCAGCGGCACCATTCGGAGATTTGGTGGAGCTCCCTATGGGGCCACGAAGCGTGTGAGGGGTGAGCCCAAATCGGGGACATGCGGCGAGCAGAAGCAGGGATGGGAGGAGGGATGATGACGGAGAGGAAAGGAGAGGAGAGGAGATGTGGGGCGCATTTTTTCTTTCTCTCTCTCTCTCTCTCTCTCTCTCTCTCTCTCTCTCTCTCTCTCTTCAAGACGAAGACCCAACACCACAAGATGGGGGCCAGGAAACGGGCATCCACCACCTGGGTTGACACAAACGTGCACGCGCCGTCTGTCGCCACCCCCTCGAGACATGCGTCACCCCATTGCTTTCACGACCGCAGAACTGTTCCGTACCGCGTCACTCCTCCCACCGCGTGAGCTACCCCCTGTCTTCTTCCCTTTAGCTCAACAGCTCGAACAAGGCAGGACTGCCGGGGAGTATGTCAATCCTCCTCCTCATCTGCCTTTTTCGATTACCTCCCTGCAAACTGCGAGCTGAGCTGAGACCTGCCTAATGCACCTTGAATTGGGCATGGCACAGTGGAGCCCAGACGCCCTGACCGCACCCTCTACCCATTATCACATCGCATATGCTCGTGACGCAGTCCGCGCTTCTCCTTACGGTCCCACCTGCTGCCGAATCTCGACTGTGAGATCACTTCGCGCGCCGCTTTGCGTAGAGACGAACGCATGAGGGTACCAGAACCGCTGCCGACCCGAGCCGCACCCCCTTCCCCTCCTCGCGAACTGGTAGTCCCCACAGGCAGGACAATTCCAATCGCCCTGCAGGAAAACAGCTGAACGATGGAGGATTGTGGCGACGACGGGGGGATGGTGACGAGGGAAAGAGGGGGTGGGACAGGAGAAGGAAGAGATTAGATGATAGAAGACGCCTCTACAGAACCTTTCGGAACTCCGCGCTGAGTTCTTGGATGGGCACCGGAAGCCCCCCTCCCTGGCGCGCGAAGGCGCCAAGCCAAGGCCATCGCCGCAGGCGCCGCCAAGGGGGGCGCAGCGACGATCTGAGAAGTCCACCCGGAGCTTCCAAGGTTTCTGTCTACGTGTATGCAAGTTTCGCGTACGGTTAAAGTGTCTGGAAGCTGGTGGAACACCACAAGTTGAGGCATGACCACGGGTACCACCAGAGCCCTCAGTAGACAAGGACTCGTCCTGGGTCTGACGCCTTCCAGGCTGATTCCTCAACGAACGCCACCACCGTGTTCGAGAGATGGCAAGGGTGGAGCTGGGCGCGGGGGGGGGCGACACGGTGGGCACCGGGCGGGGCGCGGCGAGCTCCACTCAGGTAGAGCTGCTCCGAGCACGGGGCGACCAACGGGCCGTCGCGAGGAAAGCCGCGCCAGGCCCCCGCTGCCCACACGAGGCCCTCGCCGCGATCACCAGCCCAGGCGCTCCGCGCGCCAGGGAGGGGGGTCCAGCGCGGATCAGAGAAATCCGCGCGGACCTCCGAGTTTTTATGTTTATGCCACTTTTTGTTCCCCTGAGTCAGACTACCTTCCAGACCACCCCAACCCAACCCGAAGACCCGAATTTCGGGTTGGGGGGGGGTAAGGGTTCCACATGTGTTTTTCCTATGTTTCCCGACCCCCCCCCCACTGGAAATCGAGGGTAAATCTGAGCCTTCGGGTTGGGTTGAGGTGGTTTGGTGGGTGGTGAGACTCAGGAGGAGCGTGCACCGTCCTCGTCGCCGCCGTCGCTCGTCGTCCGGCGCTCGCCGTCGGTCGTCGCAGTCGCCGCCGCCGCCGCCGCGGCGGCCCCAGTGCCGCGGAGAGGCCGCACCTGCAGCGGCGGACATCCGCCGCCTCCTCCCCGTCCGTCCACTCCCCGCGGGGAACCATGGGGGCCACCAAGAGGGGGGTGTCCAAGAGGGGGGGTGCAAATCATGACCGGCGGCATGTGCGCGGCCCAGCGGGGGGGCCAGGGACGTAATGAAATAAGAAGAGGCGCCATGAAATCTGGGGAAATTTCATGGCCCACGCCATGATATCCCCCCCCTAGTCATCACCCCCCTCTTTGCCGCCCCCGAGGAACCATGGGGGCGGGCAGCTGGCCCATGCCGGTGCACGAACGACATGGGTACGGAAAGAATGGGTACAATGGCCAGCAGCAGGTCCTGTTCATTTTGAACAGGGCTCGCTGTTCGCGCCGCCGCGGCCTGTGTCCATTTGAGACAGAAGGCAGCCTGCCCAACAGCGGCCGCTGTTGGTTTGGGTCAACATTTGTTGTTGGGCATTGTACCCATTTTTTCCGTACCCGTTTCGGGCGTCCAAACATGACGGTGCACGAGGTTTCAGAGGCGCAGGCTGCCGCAGGGCTCGGTTTGCTTAATGTCGCACGCCGACCGCCTTTTTCTGCACATCGAGAACTGGTGAGGAAGGTTGCGTGTCTCGCGATCGTCCCGGGCGAGTCTGCGGTCGCACTTGTCGCGCAAGCCGTCCAAACCCCCACGTTGACAGAGCTCCGCCCCGGCGTTGACAGAGCCACCCCCGTACGTCGACAGAGCCCCCCCCCGTACTTTGACAGAGCCACCCCCTACGTAGGCAGAGGACCTTTCACTGCGTACCCCGCCGACGGGCCAGGGCGGAATTGTGACAGGACCCCACCTACTCTTTGACAATCCACCCAGCCTGTCCTGCTCAATCGTCCTCACCGTCTTCCCCCTCCTCCTCATCCTCCTCCTCTTTCTCCTCTCCTCTCCTCTCCTCTCCTCCTCCTCCTCCTCCTCCTCCTCCTCCTCCTCCTCCTTTCACTCCCTCCTCCTCCCGCTCCCCATGTTCTCACACATCCTCAAACCCGTTTTCATTTCCGCCCGCCTCTTTCTCCTTTTCCTCCCCATCAGTCCCCCTCTTCCCCTCCTCTTCCCCGTCCCTCATCCTCACCCGCCTGCTCCTCTTCCCGACTTTCTCTCCCTCCTGCTCCTCGCCCTCCACCTGTCTCCTCCCCTACCCCCTTAGATCGGATCGGATCGCGCCCTGCCCAGTCAGACGTCTCCAATCAAACGAGGTGGGCGGCGAAATTACTGCCACGGGGGAGGAGCCCACCGCAAGAAGGAAGAACGCAGCCGAGAGCCAATCATGCCCACTGCAGTAATCAAGGATCATACCCTCCGCCCCTGGCTCCTATCTGCCCTCCCCTAGCAGCACAGAAAACCAGCACCACCACCATCGCGAGGAGCAAGGACGGTCCTCCCGGTGATGTAGCCTCCCCTTCTGTGTGGCGCCCCGCTCGGGACACCCCGAATCTCCAGATCAGGGCGGCATCGTGGATATCCTGGAGGTGACCCGCTGGTGACGGTAAAGCCGCCCTTCTCAGCCACACGCACGCCGGGGAGCGGCCAAGCGGGGGGCGTCCCAGAGGGGGGGGGGGGGCGCGCAAGTCATGGCCAGCGGCATGTGCGCGGCCAAAGGGGGGGGGGGGGGGGCAGCGACGCAATGAAACAAGAAGAGGCGCCTTGAAGTCTGAGGTAGTCTTAGGTCGGGCGTGTCCTCCTACAGGAGGATTTGGGACGAAAAATCACAAATACTCAAAAAAGCGCTTGAACACTCCCAAAAAACAATCCACAAATCGTCCCCTGATGTTTTTTTTGGGGGGCTATTTTGGAATTTCCCTCCCTGTGAAGGGACAGGCCCGACCCAAAGGGAGTCCTCACCCCCCTCTGTGCCGCCCCCGAGCAAGGATTTGGCGGCGCGCACAGGGGAGTGGGGGGAGGGGGGAAGGCTTCCTAGAAGGAGGCTGCTTCCTAGAAGGCGCCTGCCCTACATCTACAAAGAAGGCCCAGGCCTTCTAAGATAAGAACCAGGGGTGCTTCTGAGAAGCCTTCCCCACTCCTCCTCCCCCTCCTCCTCCTCCTCCTCCTCCTCCTTCTCCTCGTCCTCCTCCTCCTCCTCCTCCTCTTCCTCCTCCTCCTCCTCCGTCCTCCTCCTCCCCACCCCCCTTCTGCGCGTGGCCAGAGGATGGTGCGGCCTGCCTGTCGCCACACGCTCGCTGCGGCAGCACCGGCCTGCGTGCTCGCGCCCCCCCCCCCCCTCTGCGCGCCCCCCGAACACCGCGCACGCAGGGCCACCCCCTTGCGCAGGGGGGCTACGGGGCGTGAAAACGACCACAGCCGCTGCTTTTCTTTTTTTGCCGCCTTCCAGCCCGCAGAAACAAAGCAGTGGTTGTGGTCATTTTCGTTGAGCTTGGCACCAAGGAAATGACCACAACCACTGCTTCTTTTTCGGCCGGCTGGAAGGCGGCGCAAACAAAAAGCAGTGGCTGTGGTCATTTTCCAGTCCCGCAGGGGCACCTCTCGCGCGCGTGGCCGACCCTCCTCCCCCCCCTAGAGACGACGCCAGGACGAGGACGCAGTCGGGCGAGGGGCAAGCCGAGGATCTCTGAGATCTGGCGGTCCTGGAGGACGCTTCGGGCGCCGCGGCCTTCTCGGAGCGTACAGCAGGGCTCTGGAAGGGATTCAGCTTCGTCCTCGGCCCGCCCGACCCCCCTCCGATCTTGACATGAAGGAGCTTGTTGGTCCGCGGGCGCCAAATGGCCAAAGACCAACTGGTCAAAGACAGTCAGACGCCGATCAGCAAGCGGTGGGGCGCACCAGGAGCGACTTGAGGCACGAAGGTGAACAACAAAAAACGCGAGGGGGGGGGACGAAGAAACACGGGCCTTCTAGACTTAAGTCGGGCCTGTACTCCTACAGGGGGATTTTGGACGAAACATAAAAAATACCCAAAAGATACCCCCAAATCGTAAAACAAAATATAAAAAAAAACTCCCCTGACTATTTTTTGACTATTTTTGAATATTCCCCCTGTAGGGGGACAGGCACGACTTAACTCTAGACAAGGGGCCCTGGACTTACTTCACAGCCTTCGGGCCCTCGGGCCCCTCCTCGGGCCCCTCCGCCGACAACAGGCCACTCGGGGTGGATACCCAACAGTCGGGAATCCCCCCTGGGATTGTGTCGGGCGCGCGCCAGGAGATCTGGTGCGGGGGCGCCAGATCCACGGACATTGGCCGACCACCAGGTGCCGAGGTACCGATGCCGCTGCTCCCCAGACCTCTCCTTAAAACAGGGCTAGGATCGGGGTAAATCGCTCCAGAGCGTTCCGGAGCGCTCTCAGAGCGTTCTGGAGCAGCCTCGGCGCCCAATACATCCTCCAAACCCGCCGATCCTCAGAGATTTCGAGTTATCCCGACCCGACTTTGTCCCGATCCTCGCGCCGTTTTGCCTCTCCTGGGGTGCGCCCTGCTCAGCATGCCGATCCTGGCAGGCCGCCCCGCAGGCCGGCCGGCCACGCGTGCCAACACGGTCCGCAACGCTTGGGCGCCCGAGTTATCCGGGGTAACTCGGGTCCGGGGTAACTCGGGTTCGGATTCCCGAAAAAGGAACCCGAGTTAGCCCTGACCCGAGTTACCCCTGATGATTCGGGGCTCTGGACGCCCGAATTATCCGGGGTAAGTCGGGTCCGGGGTAAGTCGGGTTCGGAATCCCGAAAAACAACCCGAGTTAGCCCTGACCCGAGTTACCCCTGATGATTCGGGGCTCTGAAACGCTGCCGTGCTGTCCGAGCCGCTCCCTCGTGCAGCCAGAGGCGAGGAGGAGGAGGAGGGAGGAGGAGGAGGAGGAGGAGGAGGAGGAGGAGGAGGAGGAGGGGAGGAGGAGGAGGAGGGGAGGAGGGGAGGAGTGGAGGGGGAGGAGGAGGAGGAGGAGGAGGAGTAGGAGGAGGAGGGGGGAGGAGGGAGGAGGGGAGGAGGAGGAGAGGAGGAGAGGGAGGAGGAGGAGGAGGAGGGAGGGGGAGGAGGAGGAGGGAGGAGGAGGAGGGGGAGGGGGGGAGGAGGAGGAGGAGGAGGAAGGGAGGAGGAGGAGGAGGAGGAGGAGGAGGAGGAGGAGGAGGAGGAGGAGGAGGAGGAGGAGGAGGGCGGCTGTCGGTGGACGGTGCATGCGTGCGCCGCCGGCCGCATCCGGGGCGGCGACGAGGGCCTCGCAGGCGGCCCGGGAAGGCGCAACACGAAGCGAGGGGGCCTCGGGCATCGGCACCGCCCCGCCTCCGAGGAGGAGGAGGAGGAGGGGTGAGGGGGAGGAGGAGGAGAGGGAGGCGGAGGAGAGAGGAGAGGAGGAGGAGTAGAGGAGGAGAGGAGGAAGGAGGAGGAGGAGGAGGAGGGAGGGGGGAGGAGGGGAGGATGGAGGAGGAGGAGGAGGAGGAGGATGAGGGGGAGGGGGCGGAGGCGGAGGAGGAGGAGGAGGAGGAGGAGGAGGAGGAGGAGGAGGAGGAGGGGAGGAGGAGGGGGAGGAGGAGGAGGGGGAGGGAGGAAGGAGGGGGGAGGAGGGAGGAGAGGAGGAGGAGGAGAGGGAGGAGGAGATGAGGAGGAGGAGGAGGAGGAGGAGGAGGAGGAGGAGGAGGAGGAGGAGATGGAGGAGGAGGAGATGGAGGAGGAGGAGGAGGAGGAGGAGGAGGAGGAGGAGGAGGAGGAGGAGGGGGAGGAGGGGGAGGAGGAGGAGGCGCCCCCGGAGCACGGAGCCGGTGCCGCTGCAGCGGGCGAGACGGGGCGCGCCGACGCTGCACGGGAGCGGGGCGCGTGGCGAGCCCACACGCCTTAGAGCCCGTGCCTGCGCTGCCTCGGTCCCGCGGCCCGCACTCTTCTGAATCTGCGTCGTATTCTTAGTGCTCGTGGTATTCTGCTTCTTTTCCATCTTGTTATCCTCAAGCTTCTGGCTACTCGTTCTTCTGCGTGACACAACCATTCGTCTTACAATGGTGGGTGTGTCTCTTTTTCTTCTTCTGCTTCCTCCTCCTCTTCATCCTCTTCCCTCCAAGACACCCTCTCATGCACTCGGGGGCGACGACAGGGGCGATCAGCCCAGGGGGGTCCCCGACCAAGCAGCCAGGTCTGCGAGCGGGCCGCCTTTTGGCAGTCCCTGGGCGCGAAGAGGGATCACCAGATTGGGAACACCCCTCGCCTAGGGAAACTCAAGCTCGCAGCCCGTTGCTGCTGGTTGCTAACGAGGGCGACCCCTGGCTGGCAACCAACACGATCAGAGGCAGGGGAGAGCAATACATGCAATGTGTCCAGGGGTGTCGATCGTCCAGGCCTTCAGCGAAGCATCCGGGCGAAGACGTCCCGCCCCTGAGCTATTCGCCCCTATCGTTAGGTCGGGCACGTCCTCCTGCAGGAGGATCCTGAAAGAACAATCCAACACAGCTAGACAATAATCAAGCATGGCCGGTAACCGGATCACGGACAATCGTTACCACACTATGTTTGTATCATTATGGAGCATTCCTCCTGTAGAGGGACATGCCCGACTTAACCCTATCGTCGCCGCCGATTCACTAGAGGCCTCCTGAATGGGGTCGGGCGATCGTGTCGCATCGCCGATATACTTGCGATGCATCGGCGATGCACTGGCGATGCATCGCCGACGTGGGCGATGCATCGGCGACGTCGACGTGAAGGAAATCGGGCTCCACGTCGAGCCGCATCGGCGATGCATCGACGACACTGCGCGATCCTTCGACCACCCCATCTAGGAGGTCCTGAGTATTCCTCCTGTAGTTGGGCATGCCGACTTATCGTCGCCGCCGATTTACAGCGACGATCCCCCCCTCCCTGCCCGGGCCCCGGCGCGCCGGCAGGGGCGACTTGCCGAACCCCTTGCCGCCAGAGGGAGCCGCTGCCGCAGCCTCCAGGCCTGGCGGGCGGGGGGAGGGGGAGGGGGAAAAGACGGAGGAGAAGGAGGAGAAGGAGGAAGAGGAGGAGGAGGAGGAGGAGGAGGAAGAGGAGGAGGAGGAGGAGGAGGAGGAGGAGGAGGAGGAGGAGGAGGAGGAGGCGAGGAGAAGGAAGAGGAGGAGAAGGAGGAGGAGGAGGAGGAATGAGGAGGAGGAGGAGGCGGAGGAGGAGGAGGAGGAGGAGGAGGAGGAGGAGGAGGAGGAGGAGGAGGAGGAGGAGGAGGCGGGGGGAGGAAGAGGAGAAGGAGGAGGAGGAGGAGGAGGAGGAGGAGGAGGAGGAGGAAAAGGAGGAGGGGAAGAGGAGGAGGACGAGGGGGAGGAGGAGGAGGAGGAGGAGGGGAAAGACGAGGAGGAGAAGGGGGAGGAGGAGGAGGAGTGAGGAGGAGGCGCGCACGAGCGTTTCGACCCACTCACGCGGCCTGCTCGGGAAATTGAATGCTGGGGGGAGGATGGGAGGCCAACGCTCGGGTGGTCTCGGGCCCCCGCCTTCACGACGCAGCGCCCGCGCGCTCACCTCCCGCCTCCCCCTCCTGCTCTTTTCCTTCGTCTGCCTGCGCATGCAGGCACGTCCCTCGCACGCCTCGTGCGCCCATAAAAGGACTCTCTGCGCACGCCCCCAATGGGGTCCCAAGTGTGCCGCTCCCCGCCGATCTCGGCATAACCTACGCACGACTCGCGAGAGCGCCGTTCTTGAGTTCGGGGGCCTCTCTGGTCAGGGTGTCTCGGGGTAAATCGTGAGGGAGTCTCGAGCGGGAGCCGTTGCTGTCGTAGCTGGGCCTCCAAGGGCCCACATTTAGGCTCAAGCCAACGCTCGAGCGGGAGCCTCGCTTTCAGAGAAAATGTAGCCTGCGTCGAGGCGAGAGCGCGCGGAACCGCTTCCGAAGACCACCGACAATTATTCTTTAGAAATGAATATTCAACAGCAACAACAACACCAACAACAACATCAGCAACAACAACACCAACAACAACAATAACAAACACAATAACAATATCAATAACAACAACAGCAATAGCAGCAACCACAACAACAGCAACAACAACAACAACGTCAACAACAACAATTATTTCAAGACTGTTCGCTCCTACCGGCCCGCGTGTAACTCACTATGCATATCCCAAACCTTGGATATCCGCCCTCTTCGTCTTCGATCGTACCCCCTTTGGGGGGGGTATGTTCCTTCCTGGCCACGTGTAATTGGAGAAGCCCCTAAACAGGGAAACGAAAGGGAAAAGACAAACAGAGAGGACGAAGGGATCGGAGGAAGGGAGGGATTAGAGGGGCAAGAGGGAGGGACGACGATGATTTGTGCCGTGAGTTGCGATTCAGCTTGCGCCATGGCTTGCGCCAGCCATTCCAACACAGGTTAAACAAGGCTTCGCCATGCGTCGCGCCATAAACAACGCCATGTAACACTGCTGGTGCTGCTCGGCGAGGTGTTGGAGGCGAGGGGGACAGAATCGGAAGGAGGGGGGAGGCGGCCCGGGAGCAGGGAGGAGCAGGACGGTAAGAATGCGAACGTTCGAAGAAGTCCTAGGCGAAAACGCCATTCCACAAGAAAGTCTCGGGCGGCAGCCCACGACGGGCGGGCGATCCTCTGACGGGCGGTCGGGCGGGCGGGACATTCAAGCGGGATGCCTGAGTAGGGCGAGAGCGCGATTCCTAAGTAAAATGTGACGGCGTCCTTGGCGCGAACGTGGTGCCTGAGCGTAGATAGTGCGATTTCTGAATAAACTGCGAAGGAATCGCAGGCGAGAGCACAATTCCTGAAAAGGGGATGTCTGGCGGGAGCGGGGGTCTAGACTAAAGCGCAAGGATATCTTAAGCGGGAGCGCCGTTCTTGAGTAAATTGTGAGGAAGCCTCAGACGGGATGGGGGGTCCTGACTGAATTGCAGGGGAAACACAAGCGGGAGCGCCGATCCGGAGTAAATTGGGAGGAAGTCTCAGGCGGGAGCGCGGGTCCTGAGTAAAGTTGTAGGAAGTCTCAGGCGGGAACCGTTGTTGTTGTAGTCCTGGGGGGCAACAGTGCAGTTTGACCTGGGTTAAGTTGTGAGGGAGTTTCGAGCGGGAGCGCCGTTCCTGAGTAAATTGGGAGGAAGTCTCAGACGGGAGAGGGGGTCCTGAGTAAATTTGGAGGAAGTTTCGGACGGGAGCCGTTGTTGTTGTAGTCCGGGGGGCCAGGGGCGCAGTTTGACCAGGAAGACTTCCCCTGTCAAAAACAGGGTGCGAGCGTCGAGGGGCACACTTTGACGGAGGAAGAACAATATGCACCAGTGAGGGGGGATCAACAATAACTATTCTTCAGAAGTGAAAATTCAACCACAACAACAACAATCATTCCAAGACTATTTGCTCTTATCTGTTCGAGTGTCCGTTGACGCTTATTTCCCAAACCCTCGATACCCGCCCTCTTCGTCTTCGATCGTACCCCTTTAGGGGGGTATATCTTTCTTCCCTGCAGGCCGGGCACCGGCAAGCGGCGGGGCGGCCGCGGACCGTCGGCCTGGCCAGCGGCAGCGCTGGTCGGCGGCAACCCGACCCCAAGAGGGACGGACAGGGGACCGACCACGACGACGACGACGACGTCGACGACGACGACGACGGCGACGACGACGACGAGCGAAAGCGAGAGCGAGAGAGAGAACGACAGCAGGGCCACGAAGGGCACGCAGTAGGCCACGAAGGGCGACAGCGGGGACACGAAGGGAATGCGTATGGGGCCACGAAGAGCGCGAACGAGCGGGGGCCACGAAGGGCAGATAATGCGGGGCCACAAGAAGGCAACGACGGGGCCAGTGATGGTAGCAACTGGGCCACGTAGGACAGCGATGGGGGCCAGAAAGGGCGACAGCGGGGCCACGGAGGGCATGCACATGGGGCCACGACGGGCGCAAACGAGCTGGGGCCACGAAGGGCATACGTATATTGTGCCGCGGAGGGCAAGGACGGAGCCACTGAGGGCAGCAACGGGGCCACGAAGGGCTGCAACGAGGCCACGAAGGGCGACAGCAGGGCCACGAAGGGCATGCATATGGGGCCACGACGGGCGCGAACGAGCGGGGGCCACGAAGGGCATACATACATTGGGCCACGAAGGGCAGCGAGGGGGCCACGAAGGGCTGCAACGGGGCCACGAAGGGCAGCGAGGGGGCCACGAATGGCCGCAACGGAGCCACGAAGGGCAGCGAGGGGGCTACGAGGGGCTGCAGCAGGCCAGGAAAGGCTGCAACGGATCCACGAAGGGCAACGAGGGGCCCACGAAGGGCTGCAACGGGGCCACGAAGGGCAGCGAGGGGGCCACGAATGGCTGCAACGGGGCCACGAAGGGCAGCGAGGGAGCCACGAAGGGCTGCAACGGAGCCACGAAAGGCAGCGAGATCCCGATTCCAAAATAATATATGAGGGAGTCCTAAGCGTGAGCGCGACTCCTGGGTGCCTGAGTCGGGAGCGCGGCCCTGGAGCAAATTGCTGGAAATGCCAACGCAAGGGCACTATTCTTGAGTAAACTGCAAGCAAGTCTCCAGCGAGAGCGCGACTCCAGAGCGCCGAGAGAGCGATTCCTGAACAAGTTGTAAGGAAGTCCCAAGCGAGAGCGCGATTCCTGAATAACATGCGAGGGAGTCTCGGGCGGGAGCGGCGGTCCTGGCTGAATTGTGAGGAAATCTCGGGCGGGAGCCGATGTTGTTGTAACCAGGGGGCCAACATCGCAGTTTGAGGAGGAAGATTTCCCCTGATAAAAAACAGGGTGTGAACGCCAGGAGGGGCACTTCAATTGAAAAATACAATGTGCACCGGAGGGGGGGTCAACAATACTCATTCATCAGTAGTGGCAATTCAACAACAACAACAACAACAACAACAACAACAACAACAACAACAACAACAACAACAATTACTAGCACGTGGGGACACACCGTTCTCACCAGTGCCAGGGTTTTCATAGGAGGCGGGCAATACCCCCACTTTGTGGGGGGGACGGTTCAAGCTCTACCAAATTTCCAAACGACTCTTCGCCACCACCCACACCCAGCTTCCCGCCCTAGGACGTTCGACACTTCACTTCGTGGCATGCGGACGACCGTGGCTACTATTCAGGGCCCCGCGGCCGACGACGACGGCGTGCGCGCGCGAAGAAAAAACGAATGTGTCCCGCATGGTATTATTTGACAGGGATGATGGCCCTGGCAGGTGCGCAACCGTTGTTGCAGAAGTTCGAAAAAGTTGCTCGCAAAAGCCCGTTTGACAGAAATGTTTAAAAAGTGTTGGGTTTCCTACGAATCCGCAAGAGCGCGCGGGATGAATTTTGACATTTTTTTTGAAAAACCATTGGTTTTTTGATGTTTTTATGTTAAAATCGCTACGAAAACTAAGGTTTTGGAAGGATTTCGTCTTGCGCGCGCGAATGTCCACTTTACCTTATTTTTTGCAAGGGATTCTTGAAGTTTGGTTATGTTAGAACAAGAAATGTCCACTTTAGCTTATTTTTTGCAAGGGAAAACCGATCGTAACAACACAACCGGATCCGGACCAACCCGTTTTGCCTGAGACTTCCTCACGAAAATGATGAAAATGAGGCTGCGGCCTAGGCGCGGCGGGGGGGTCGTGCACCAGGGGTCCCAACAATAATTATTCTTTAGAAGTAATAATGTTCAACAACAACAACAACAACAACAACAACAACAACAACCACAGCAACAGCAACAACAACAACAACAGCAGCAGCAGCAACAGCAGCAGCAGCATCAACAGCAAGAGCAACAGCAACAGCAGCAGCAACAGCAACAGCAGCAACAACAGCAGCAATAGCAATAGCAACAACAACAACAACAACAACAACAATAATCATTTTAAGACTGTTCGCTCTTACACGCCCGCGTGCCATGCAACGTGTATACCCACGCCCTCGATACCCGCCCCCTTCGTCTTCGAGCGCACCCCCTTCTGGGGGGATTCTTTCTTTTTGCGGGGGCGGGCGGGCTTAGACAAGCGGGCGTGAACGGGCGGGGAACTCTTCGGAGGATGGGGCACGCATCTCTTTGCCCACCATTGGAATTAGCGCGGGCCCTCCAAGAAGAGGAAGGGTGAGAACGAGGGAGAGTGGGAGGAAGGGAGGGGAGGGACGAGGCTAAAGGGGAACACGCCAGGAGAGAGGGGGCGAGGAGGGGGGGGGTGCGATTGGAGATAGAGAGACAGAGGAGGGAGGAAGGAGGAGGCTGGAAAGGGGAGGGCGAAGAGAGGAGGGAGGAGGGTTATGGGAGGAGGGTGAGGGGAGAGAGGAAGAGGGAGGAGGAGGGTGGATATGAGGGAGAGGGGACGGAGGAGGGAGGTTGGATGGGGAGGAAGGGGCAGGAGGGTAAGAGTGTGAACGTTCGAGGAAGTCCTAGGCGAGGGCGTATTCCTCAAGGAAGAGTTGGGCGGGAGCGGGGGTCCCGAGTACATTGTCGGACGTCTCAGGCGGGAGCGCCGGTCGGGCGGGCGGACCCTAACGGGCGGGTCGGGCGGGCGGGACATTCAAACGGGATTTTTGCGTAAATCGCGAGGAAGTATTAAGCGAGAGCGCGATTCCTAAGTAAATTGCGAGGGCGTCCTTGGCGCGAGCGTGGTTCCTGAGCGTCGAGAACGCGATGCTGCAATAAATTTCGAGGAAGTCCCAAGCGAGAGCGCCATTCCTGAGTAAATTATGAAGAAGTCTCGGGCGGGAGCAGGGGTCCTGATTAAGGAAGTCTCAAGCGGGAGCGCCGTTTCTGCGTAAAATGTGAGAAAGTCTGAAGCGGGAGCGCCCTTCCGGAGTAAATTTTGAGGAAGTCTCAGGCGGGAGCGGGGGTCCTGAGTAAATTGTGAAGAAGTTCAAGCGGGGGCCGTTGTTGTTGTAGTCCGGGGCCCAACAACGCAATCTGATCCGCAAGGCTTTCCCTGTCAAAAAACAGGGTGCGAGCCCCGGAGGAAGCACTTCAATTGAAAAAAACAACGGGCACCGGACAGGGGGGATCAACAATAATTATTCTTCAGAAGTGAAAGTTCAACAACAACAACAACACCGACGACCATCTTGCGAACATCGGATGTAACAAGCAACTGTGGCCTTCATGTGTTTTCCCCTCTCCATCGCATCCGCCCGCGAAGTCATTGGACCAACCCCCTTTGGGGGGGATTCGTTTCATACCAGCTCCTGGGAGAAGGATTCGGTACTCTCTATGCGCACCACATCGCCACGGCCGTCAAACGTGCTAACGCGCCCGCGGGCCAAGGCGTCTCGGAGTGAATTGAGGTATCGAGCGGGAGCCGTTGTCGTCGTAGCTGCCCACCCCCCCCTCGCCAACTTGAACGAATTGCGAGGAGGATTCAAGCCAGACCGCAGTTCCTGAGCTTCGAAGTTTCTTTGGCCAGGGCCTCTCGAAATAAATCGCGCAGAATTGTCAGGCGAAAGCTGCTGTCATCGTAGCGGGGCGTCCACGAACGTGCGTGAATTGTGAGGATGTCTCGAGCCAGAGCGCAGATCCTGAGCTTCGAGGCCTCTCTGGCCAGAGCGTCTCGGAATAAATCGCAAGGAAGTGTCGAGCGGGAGCCGCTGTCGCCGTCGCTGGAATTCCACGATCTTGCATGAATTGCGAGGAAGTCTCGAGCCAGAGCGCCGTTCCTGGGCTTCGAGGCTTCGCTGGCCAGAGCGGCTCGGAATATATCGTGAGGAAGTGTCGAGCGGGAGCCGCTGTCGCCGTCGCTGAGCTCCACGAACTTGCGTGAATTCCAAGGAAGTCTCGAGCCAGAGCGCTGTTCCTGGGCTTCGAGGCCTTTCTGGCCAGGGCCCGTCGGAGTAAATTTCGAGGGAGTATCGAGCGGGAGCCGCTGTCGCCGTCGCTGGAACTCCACGAACTTGCGTGAATTGCGAGGATGTCTCGATCCAGAGCGCCGTTCCTGAGCTTCGAGGCCTCTCTGGCCAGGGCCCGTCGAAGTACATTTCGAGGAAGTATCGAGCGGGAGCCGTTGTCGTCGTAACCGGGTCCACAAAGGCACACATACACAATCACGCCCCCGCTCGAGCGGGAGCCTCGTTTTCACAGAAAATGAGGCCGGCGTCGAGGCGAGAGCGCCCAGGCAACTTTCCGGAGATCAACAATAATTATTCACTAGAAATGAGAATATTCGACGACAAACCATAAAAAAAACCCTCCAGCGGCCAGCGGCCAGCGGCCTGGCGCGGTCTGCTGCTCCAGGGCTCCGCAGCCACCGGCGGGCAGCGCCTGCTGGCCTGGAGGGGGCAGAGAGCACGTGGACCATACGATTAAGTCGGGCCTGTGCCCCTAGAGGGGGGTTTTCGACGAAAAATAAAAGATACTCCAAAAATAATAAAAAATATTCAGAAAATAGTCGGGGGACTCTGTTTTTTAGTTTTTTTCGACCTTGTTGGGGTATGTTTGGAATATTTTTTGTTTTTCGTCGAAAATCCCCCTGTAGAGGGACACGCCCGACATAACCATATGACCAAGACGGGGACGCGGAGACATCGTGCCGACCCGGGTCACCGTTCGGCGGCGGGCGAGGGGGGGAGTGAGAATGGGAAGGCCTTCTTGGAAGGTTCGGAAGTCCCCCAGCCTTCTGAGAGGTTTTCCAAGCCCTCCCCGAGGACAGGAAAAACCTCTCGGAAGGCGCGAGGGCCTCTGAGAAGTCCCGCCGCCTTCTAAGAAAGCCTTCTCCTTCTCACTCCCCCCCTCGCTCGCCGCCGAACCGTCCAGCTCTGTGAGCGCTGATCCGAGGATCCTCCTCGCGCGTCGGCGACGGCCGACATGGGCCACGACCGCGATCGGCATTCGGCAAGATCCCGCGACGTCTTGGTGTTGGGCGCCCGAGTTATCCGGGGTAACTCGGGTCCGGGGTAATTCGGGTTTGGAGTCCCGAAAAAAAAACCCGAGTTAGCCCTGACCCGAGTTACCCCTGATGATTTTGGGGCTCTGGACGCCCGAGTTATCCGGGGTAGCTCGGGTCCGGGGGAAATCGGGTTCGGAATCCCGAAGAGCGAACCCGAGTTAGCCCTGACCCGAGTTACCCCTGATGCTTCGGGGCTCTGGTGGTGGTGGTCCCCGTGTTTCTGCCCTCGATGGCCGAGCAGCGGCTGCCCACAGCCGCCGGCGGGCAGCGTCTGCTGGCCGAGCAGCGGCTGTCCGCCGAGCGCCGGCGGCGCGAGCAGCGGGTGCTGGCCGAGCAGCGGCTGGGCGAGCAGCGGCTGGCCGAGCGCCGGCTGCTGCGCCAGCAGGGCCTGCGCTGGACGGGCTCGTCGAGACTCGACGATACCCTTTGGCGGCGCGCACCCCTGACCTTCCAGGAGGGCCAAAACATAGCACGCGACTTCAAAAACCTATCCCAGAGCTATTCTATGTCTTGGTTTTAGGCTGTTTCGTTTCGTTTTTTAGGCTTCTAGGCCTCCCGTGCTAAAAAAAAGCTCTCTGGAAGGTCAGGGACATGGGGGTATGGGGGTAGGGGGAGGGGGGAAGGCTCCTTCGAAGGACGCCGTTTCTTAGAAGGCGCCAGCCCTGCTTCTGCCAGCATAGCCCGCGCCTTCTGCAAAGCATGGGTGCTTCTGAGAAGCCTTCCCCCCTCCCCCTACCCTGTCTGCGCGTGGTCGAGAAGAGAAACGGGGCTCTCGCGAGAAGAAGTAGCGACCTGACCCCGCGGCTTGCGTGCGCCACCATCGCGGCACGCTTTGTTGGAAACGAGGGCGCTCACGCGCAACCTTACGCGGGCAGATTGCACACGACCGTGCGCGCAATCGGCCCCATACAGTGCGGGCGCGGCCACAAGAAACCCTCGCAAGAAACCCAACCCTGAGAACCCGTGCGCGAGGTGCACCAGAGGGGAAGCCTGGAGCACCCTGAACGCAGCAGCTCCTTCAACGGCTGCGGGAAGTCGCCGCGCAGCGCGAGGAGCGAAGAAACCCAGGATACCCTGACGAAAAACATCTCGGGGAACCCCCGCTGGGCCGCGGGACCGTCGAAACGTAACTCTGGACTGAGAGCCAGCCCTGTAGGGACAAGAAAAGGCGACACCAACACCACCAGGGCGAGGAGATGCGAGGAGCAAGGGGGGCCTCCCTGCTGGTATAATCCCCCCCCCCTCGCGCTCGAGACATCCCCAGACTCCAGCTCGGGGAGGCATCGTGGACCTCCTCGGCGGAGATTTACCAGCCTGCAACACATCCCTATCCGTATGCTGGGCACCTCCTCAGCACGATGCCAATCTTAGGGATTCCCTTATTTTTTGAGGGCGAATCCCTAAGATTCTCATCGCCTTTTGGCGTGTCAATCTTACGGGTAGGGATACGTTCAAGGCTGGTAAGAGATGGCTCCCCTGGCGGTGCTGGCGTCGCATCTCCTCCCTCCGACCCTGGGGAGAGGGTCGGGATGTACAGTCGGGGCGTTGACCGAGGGAACCCAAAATGAGGACCGAGGTCCCTTTTTCTCATAAGCTAAGCTTCGATTCCCCATGGGAAACCTCAGGAAAACCCAGGGCAAACTGTGAAGCAATCGAGGAGCACCGAGCCCCTCCCCAACGAGAAGGGTTCCTTCTTCAGCGCCCCGACTGCATGGGGACCGCGTGGCGAGCAACACCTGCACACGGCACGACTGAATGGGCGCCCCCATCGTCTTAGGAGCCGGGCGCCTCCGCCCGACTCCTTGCGCCCCGTGGCCCCCTCGCAGGTGGATTCGCCTCGACCTGCCTCATGGTGCCGATCCTTGCTCGCCACGTCTGATATCGGGAAGGCTTTCGTGGGGATTTAGAAGACCCACTCTTGGGAGGTCTTCCAAACAAGGGGCCACCGAGCCGGACTTGAAACGTACCAGCGCCTAGACTCCTCAGGGAGAAACTTGCGGAACAAAACTTGGAACCGGTATTCAATCATGCGCGATAACGCCCGTGACCGGCTCCGTAGCCCTGGCCCCCACCCCCAGGTCACGTCTCGATTCGCCCCGGCGCCGTGTGGGATCGCCCACGAGGAAGCCAGCAGGGTTGGACAGCAGATGCACATAGTGATCTGCTGCGGCAAGGTGTGCCTTACGCTGTCCGCATGAAGAAATCTGCGATAGATCACTATGGATGACGAGTCGCGACGTAAACGGCTGCAAACAAAGAATGTGATTTGCTCTCGCCACTCCAATTCCCTCCAATTTCCTCCAATTCATCCTCCTCCTCCTCCTCCTATTTCTCCTCCTCCTCCTCCTCCTCCTCCTCCTCCTCCTCCTCCTGCTCCTTCTCTTCCTCCTCCTCGACACTCTCTCATCCCGGCAACTCCCTCCTCCTTCCCTCGTCGTCGTCGTCCTCCTCCTCCTCCTCCTCCGCCTGCTGCTGCTGCTCCTCCTCCCTGTACTATTCCCCCTCCTCCTCTTCTTCCTCCTCCTCCTCCTCCTCATCATCATCATCATCCTCATTTTCCTCCACCTTCTCCCGTCGCCCTCGCCATCCTCATTTCAATGCGAAGTGCCTCACCCAACGACACAAGAATGCAGGAGGGAGCCAGGAGGAAAGACGGGTCGAGGGAGGCGGCGCCAGGCTGAAACGACCTGCCGATACGACCTTCTGATTTGAACTCAGGGAGGTGTCTGGGCGACCCTGGGCCAGAGGGAGGAAAATGGACTAGTCGTCGTCAACGTCGTCGTCCCCCCCCTCGTAGTCCACGTGCTCCTCATCCAGTCGTCCTGTTCTTCCTCCTTATTGCGTTGCGAATTGAGTCGTTGCACAACAACGCGCGCACATACCACGGAAGCCGCAGCAACGTCTGCGTGCACCACATCGCTTGGGCGCACTGCTGGGTCTGGAGGCGTCCGGAACGGCGTGAGCACGTGGAGGACACGCGGGCCACTTGCCAACTCGACGTTGCCACGAAAAGCACTGCACCCTCCGTGTCTGACTGATCGGAGTTCGACCTAGAAGCCCCAAGGTGGTGTCTTCAACAACCAGGGAAGTTGGAACATGACTGCCTACCAGACCACCCCAACCCAACCAAAAGACCCGAATTTCGGGTTGGGGGGGGTAAGGGTTCCACATGTGTTTTTTACCTAACAGCGTTTGCTGATAGGTTTCTAGTGGGGTCAAAAGAGAGCATCATGACTCCTCAGGGGGGTCTGGGCGGGTGCCGGGAAGGAGAACCGGGAATCGTTTTTCGCCAACAGTCACACACTTCGTGCTCTTCGACCTCCCAGAACTCCATTCCCGGGCCACATTCTGGAGAACCAGGAACAAAGCCGGGCTCGCTTTTCGCCAACAGTCACACACTTCGTGCTCTTCGCCCTCCCAGAACTCCACTCCCGGGCTCCATTCTGGAGAACCGGGAACAGAGCCGGGCTCGTTTTTCATCAACAGTCACACACTTCGTGCTCTTCGACCTCCCAGAACTCCATTCCCAGGCTACATTTTGAGTGCCCGGAGCCAACTGTAGGCCACTTCGTGCTCTTCGAGTTCCCAGAACTCCATTCCCGGGCCACATCTTGGATGCCCGGAGCCAACTGTAGGCCACTTCGTGCTCTTCGATTTCCCAGAACTCCATTCCCGGGCCACATTTTGGATGCCCGGAGCCAACTGTAGGCCACTTCGTGCTCTTCAAGTTCCCAGAACTCCATTCCTGGGCATGATTTTGAATGCCCGGAGCCAACTGTAGGCCACTTCGTGTTCTTCTAGTTCCCAGAACTCCATTCCTGGGCCACATTTTGAATGCTGAGGCAGGCTGATGCTGCGGCCGAGGCAGGCTGAGGCTGAGGCAGGCTGAGGCTGAGGCCGAGGCTGAAGGCAGACTGAGGCTGAGGCTGAAGCAGACTGAGGCTGAGGCTGAGGCAGGCTGAGGCTGAGGCTGAGGCAGGCTGATGCTGAGGCAGGCTGAGGCTGAGGCTGAGGCTGATGCAGGCTGAGGCTGAGGCAGGCTGAGGCTGAGGCCGAGGCTGAAGGCAGACTGAGGCTGAGGCTGAAGCAGGCTGAGGCTGAGGCTGAGGCAGGCTGAGGCTGAGGCAGGCTGAGGCTGAGGCTGAGGCAGGCTGAGGCTGAGGCTGTGACTGCGACTGCCGTTGCCGCTGCGACTGTCATCGCGAATGCGACTACGACTGCGAGAACAGCAGAATTCTACAACTGGATTTTCATCTGAATCTTAAGGGGAATGCTTTCAGATATGCTTCTACATATCGCTGTTAGGTTGCTTTGCCGGGATAATTCGATGCTTCCCGACCCCCCCCCCACTGGAAATCGAGGGTAAATCTGAGCCTTCGGGTTGGGTTGGGGTGGTTTGGTGAGTGGTGAGAACACACGCGCACTTGGCTGGGAACGCCTGCGGAACCTGCGGGGGCCGGTTGCTGGAGACGCGTGCGGGGGGCGGGGGCACCTAGCCAGGCGAGGGCCGAGCCCGCAGAGGCATGCACCCACGTGTGGTGCCGAGCCCTCGCCCAGGCTGGCCGCGGCATCTGCAGACGTGTATGCAGCTTCACGATAAGAGGCACAAAAAAACAAATGCCCCGTGTTGTTGGGTTCAACTTTCCCGAATGCGCAGGAATGGCATGGGCACGGCTAGAGAGAGAGAGAGAGAGAGAAACACAACGAGAACAAAACAAACTATCCTGGCGAAGGACCCAACGATGAGAGGCACAAGAAGCAAATGCCCCGTGTTGGTGGGTTCAACTTTCCCGAATGCGCAGGAATGGCATGGACACGGCTAGAAAGAGAGAGAGAGAGAGAGAGAGAGAGAACAAGAGAAACAAAACAAAAAACAAAAACAAATCCTGGTTCATGATAAGAGGCCCCAACAACAAATGCCCCGTTCTGTTGGGTTCAACTTTCCCGAATGCGCAGGAATGGCATAGACACGGCTAGAGAAAGAGAGAGAGAGAGAGAGAGAGAAAAAGAAAAACAACAACAACAACACACATATCCTGGCGAAGGACCCAACCAGACGCAAATGTGAGAACCGCAGGGCATGTGGGACGAAGCAAGGGGAAGTCCCAGTGGGGCCACGGACCGTGTGAGGGGTGCGCCAAAATGCGGCGGGGCCGCCATGCGAACCCTGCCACCAAAGCCTTCGGTGGAGCCCTCCATGGGGCCACGAACCGTGTGAGGGGTGCGCCAAAATGGGGCGGGGCCGCCATGCGAACCCTGTCACTGGGGCCTTCGGTGGAGCTCCCTGTGGGGCCACGAACCGTGTGAGGGGTGCGCCACAATGGGGCGGGGCCGCCATGCGAACCCTGTCACTGGGGCCTTCGGTGGAGCCCCCTTTGCATGCATGGATGTATGAAGGTATGAAGGTATGTAGGTAGGTAGGTAGGTAGGTAGGTAGGTAGGTAGGTAGGTAGGTAGGTAGGTAGGTAGGTCGGTAGGTAGGTAGGTAGGTAGGTAGGTAGGTAGGTAGGTAGGTAGGTAGGTAGGTAGGTAGGTAGGTAGGTAGGTAGGTATGACTGTATGTATGTATGTATGTATGTAGGTAGGTAGGTAGGTAGGTAGGTAGGTAGGTAGGTAGGTATGTATGCATGCATGCATGCATGCATGCATGTATGTATGTATGTATGTATGTATGTTGTATGTATGTATGTATGTATGTATGTATGTATGTATGTATGTATGTATGTATGTATGTATGTATGTATATATGTATGTATGTAGGTAGGTAGGTAGGTAGGTAGGCAGGCAGGCATGCATGCATGCATGCATGTATGTATGTATGTATGTGTGTGTATGTATGTATGTAATGTATGTATGTATGGGAATAGTTGTCTGCTTCTTGAGACCCTCGCAAGGTCCCGGAACCGTCAGAACACGACTCGGGATAAAAAAAAAACAGCCATAGGGGAAAAGGACGAGAGGTTTGGGAATGGTGTGCCACTCAACTGCTGCCGCTGGGGCCGCCGCCGCCGACGGACCCGGCGGACCCGGCGCAGGTTCCCTCGCGCACCATGGTCGCCCATCGAGCCCTGGGAGGCGCGATGCAGAGAACAAGATCAGGAGGCACCTCCTAGGAGGTACTTGTGGGAACGGCTCGTTAAGGGCTCCTGAGCCAGATAGAGGGGCCAACAAGCCGGACTGGCCCATATTGAGCATAGGATTGCGCCAGAGGGCGAGGGATCGGCTACACGCTCGCAGCAGGGTGCTTTTGCTGGGGGGGGACAGCAGCGCCAGGTGGGCGAAGATCAAAACCTGGTCTTAGGGGAGATGACGTAGAGACCTTACGATGCAGCTTACGCGGGCCGCCAGCGCGGCACGCTACAATGGAGACGAGGGCGCTTACGCGCGGCCTGACGCGGGCAGCTTACGCGCCAATGTCGGCGCAGACGACCCCGCCTTTTTGCGTCGCTCAGGTGCTCGCTGCAGGCTGGGGCCGCCCGCATCAGTCGTACGCGACCCAGGGGTTCGCGGCCTTCAGGCACTGCCGCATGTGCTCCTTTGAACGCATAAAAACCGACCCACGCCCCCAACACGAGGATCTTTAGGCCGACTAGACCGCGCGCGCGGGCCCTCCCCCCCTGCGGCAGCTGGTAATGGCCTCGCTTACAGGGCGCCTACACTTACGCACTTTCGCCAGAATTGCGAAACGTGAACATCTAAAATCCATTGTTGTGGGAGCTGGGGTCGGTTTCCCCCTGATTATCCTTGAACCTCTCCCAGGCGGCGGCGCGGTCTCGCGCCCAGCCCTCCAAAGTGTCCGGGTCGGCGCCCAAGCGGCCAGCGGCCTCGCGCCGGTAGCGGCCCACCACGTCGGAGAGCGCGGCCGCGACGGCGTCCAGCTCAGCCACGCCGCGCCCAGCCCCGACTTCGAGGACGAGGTGGCGGTCCCGATCCGCGGCGATCGCGTCCCTGATGGCGCGCGAGGCCCTCCGCAGGTCGTCCCCCCCGAGGCCCCCGACCACGAGCCGGGCGGCGTCGTCCGCGAGCGCGCCGCGGTACTCGGCGAGCAGGTCGGACAGCCTGGGCAGCGCCCCGCGCCCGCTCGGCCCTCCCATCGTGTGGCCCCGCAGCGAGTTGCCCCCCAGGGACCGCAGCCGTGAGGCGATCTCCTCCAGGCGGTCGCAGCGCTGCACCTCCTCCTCCGGGCTGAAGCCCGACAGGCCCGAGGCCCCCCAGCGCCCGCCCGCCGCGGCGGCGCCGCCGCTGGCTGCGCACTGCTGACGCCGGTGCCGCCATGCCAGGAACGCCAGCGCCGCAGCCCCGGCACACGCCGTGGCCGCGGGGACGAGCACGCGCGCACGTGGCACGGACAGCGCCGAGCACATCGCGGCGCGACGGGGCAGCTACCGGCTCGGAGCCTTGATGCGACATGCGGGAGGGGGCCCTGCTCGCGCACATTCTGACCTCGGAGCTCTTCGGCAATCGTGCCTGCCAGGCGCCACTCATGACAAAGCACCGCATCCGATCTCGACCAAACGTCTTCATCATTTCTGACCGGCTAATGATGCACCATCCTCGTCATGGCAACGGCAAAACAACTACGATCCACTTATGAGCCGATCGCTGCTATTGGAATGCACGACCACGCGATGGGCAGGCACTGAGGGAATCACGGCAGTAGGTGCACGTCAGCACGCATGTGTGGGCGTGCAAACGAAGGAACGAGCAGGGAAGGATACGCGTTAGTATGATTTACTGATGGCATGAAATGTTTGTCCACTAGAATCCAGCCGCACCTGTCCGCGGCTAGGGATGGGATCAGAAAGGGAGATCAGGATGGAACTGGGGAGTCAAGGCCGCCCCATGAGAGGACGGGGCTAAGCAGGACCAACTCATCCAACTGGCGCCATGTGGGTCTACCTGGATGGGCGATTTCTACGTGTCGAGGTGTGGACCGAGCCTCAGTCGTAGTTGACCAGTCGACAAGTTGGTAGGGCCAGCGACGTGCGCTGGAACAGAACAAGTCGACATGTTGGTAGGACGAAGTTGCATGTGGAGCCGGTGGCATGGAGTGGCGACATCTGCGGTCCCGACGGATCCGAATCAACGTTCGTCTCGCGAAGGGGAGTGGTACCCGTATTACAATCTGCTCTGGCCGCTCAGGCTGTTTCGCCGCCCTCTTCCAGGATCTTTTTGGTGTGGTCGACGAGACCCCAGACGGATGGTCCATCCGCCCCTATACCTATGTTGCTCCCATCGTACATAAAGGACCACAGCCCAGAAATAATTTCGAGCACCCAAAAAAATGTCGAAAGAGTGTCGAAGCAATGTCGAAACCGTGTCGGACGAGTGTCTCCCAGGGCCGGACGCGTGAAAACCCTCGAGTTGCGGTACGTACTTTTCAGGTGCTCGAAACTCTTCCTGGTCGTCAAGGCTAGAGAAGGTTGGAACACCATAGCCCTGTACGCAGCTGTGCCAAAGGATCTTGGAGGGCCACTTGCACCCTTGGCGGAAACACTCCTGGTCGGCGGCCGGGGATCGGACACTCGCCCCGACCGGTTGGCGTACCCTGGCCACCTTCGCCACGGAAGGCGGAGGCCTTGCACCGAGGTGCACGTGCTGGAGGCAGACTGGCGTCGCCAGGCGCTGCTTGCCACGATGGCATCCCCTGGACGGCCGCAACAAGGGGCTGTGGCGTGTGTTGCTCCCGTCGTACTTCAGAACCACATCCCAGAAATGATGTCGAGCACCCAGAAAAGTGTCGAAAGAGTGTCGAAGCAGTGTCGGGCGAGTGTCTCCCAGGGCCCGGCACGCGAGAACCGTCGAGTTTGGGTATTTCTTGGGGGGGCTCGGAACTGTTTCTGGTGATCAAGGCTGAGTAGGCTGGAATATCATAAGCCCGCTCGGCCGTTCGCCGTTTTCCCGCTGGCGCCTCGAGAGGCCAGGCGTGGTGGGAGGTGGTGCGGGAAACCTTGCTCGGACGGCACTGGCCAGTTCCTCGTGGCAGCAGGGGGGCAGATCGGCGTCGGCCAAGGCCCGTGTGCATCACGCCACCCCTTCCTGTGTTCGAGAATCCCTGACCGCGGGCAGGAAGAGGTCCGACGAGGCGACGCCGTCTGCTTCCAAAGAATCAGGCGGCCCCAGGTGCAGCGGGCTGCATGAGTCTGCTTCATCCAGAGCTCCTGCTGAGAATCTAGGAGCACACCGCGCGGCTGAAGACGAGTCTGGCGATGATGAGCTCGACTTTGAGGACGTGCTTGCCCTTCGAACCAGACGTGGCTCCAAACACTGACGATGGGCGCATCAGACTCATGGCAAGAATGGCCGTCGCTCCTCTGAGCATGTACTTATCCACTAGTGCTGCTGAACATGCATCATTCTGTGCAGGGATCGGCGGTGGACAAACCTCCCTTTAATAAACCACCCTTTAATGAAAACGGCCTAGGACCGAAACCGACGGACCTGGACCCGCAAAAATGACGGCCACGACGCCCTCTCTTGAACCGAAAACGGCCAATTCGCTAATCGACGTGTCAGCGTGGGAGGTCTATCAACCTCCGAAGGAAGGTCCAATGTCGAGCTCGCAGCTGCGACTAAATCCGCCACCATGTCGCGAGTCACAGAGTGCGGCGTCCTCAGGCCCATTCGAGCTCCCTACATAGTTTGAACGAGCCCCCCGAACTCACTTCATCCCGAAACCCGACGCGCGAGGCAGTGCGGCCAACAATCTCGCTTCCTGTGATGTTTCGGGCGAATCCGGCGAATCTGAAAAACTCTGGCGCAAAATCCCAAGCCAGCGCCCTCGCCTGAGACATCCTCACAAAGCCGACCCCAAGGGCGGGGACACGAATGCTTCCTGCTCCGTTTCGGGCGAATCTGGCGAATCTGGCGCAGAAGCTCATACCGGCGCCCTCGACTGGGACATCCTCGCAAAATCGGCCCCGGGGGAGGAGCAAAGAGTGCTTTCTGCATCGTTTCCAGTGAAGCGGGCGAATCTGATGGAATCGGGCGTAGAATCCCTGACTGGCGCGCCCGCTCAGAACATCATGGGGGCCAAGAGTGGCTCCTGCACCGTTGCCGCCTCCCTTGAGCACGGGGCAGACTGGCCAGCCTGGTCTCACAGTGGATCTGTGAAGGGAAACCTCTGGGGCACACGCGGGGGCTCTGTCCCCGTGCGTGCTTGAAAAAATGCCACGGTGCCAGAACGCCTCTCCCACCCATTTTCTCATCCTCTCCTCATTCCTCTCCTCACCCTCTCCCCACCGATCCGTCGTCATCCCCACCGTCATCGTCGTCGACGGCATCACGGACAAAGCGGACTCCTCATCCCCACATGCCGAAAAATCTCGATCAACCGCACAGCGGCCGGTCAGCACCGCCAGCGATCTCTGAAAGACTTCAAGAGGCCAAGAAAATCGATCTCCAGGAGCTGATGGGCTCCTCTCCCAGAGCCCCGGCGCCATGGTCTTCCATGCCGTGGACCCCCCCAAACGTCTCAAACCATTCATCGGCACGTGCTTCTTCGTCCCGAATCGTTTCTTGTCGGTCCCGAGGCCCAGTCGGGGCCCCCAGTAAGACCGAACACGGCGAAACACCTCCCGTGGTGATCTGTTCATGCCTCGAGGGGGGGGGTCGGGGCCGGGCGCTGCCCGGGATGCGCCGCGCGGCGTTTCCCGAGAGGCGCGAGGCCGCGGTGTGGGCCGTGAACCTTTTGGCGGGGGGGAGACGCGCTCCCGCGACCAGAGACACAAATCGGGAGGGGGAAAACACACACAGGCACCACGGACCGTCGATTCCCGGGAAAACGTGGGAAGATATGGGAAGTGGGCTGGAAGACGAAGACCCAGAACATGCGGGAGAGTACAGGGCAGTTTTAATACATAGGATGTTTAAATACACAGGATGTTTAATCCATGACTAATTTATGAATAAATTCATGCATGAAGTCATCGTTGTTTTGAATACTAAATCCCTGGGATTTGTCTGTATGATTTGTGTGGCCTCAGGGCCCTTCCTGGGGAGCCCTCTTCCGGGGCCGTCCCGTCCGCCCCGGGGGGGCCCGTCCCGCAGCTCGCGCAGCTCCCCTGACCTTCCAGGAGGGCAAAAACATAGCACCCGACTCAAAAACCGATCCAAAAGCTATGGTACGTCTTGGTTTTGGGGCTGTTCCGCTAAGTTTTGTTAGGTCTTTCGGCCTCCAGTGCTAAAAAATGGCTCTCTGGAGGGTCAGAGTTCGGGGATCTTCTGACCCGGGTCAATCCAGACCCGGGTCAGCAGGACACCAGAAACTGCAATGCAGGAAAAAAAAACTGCAACGCAGGTCTTCGCAAACCCGGGTCAGCCAATACGAGCGGCCGCCTCGCGGCCACGAGCGGCTCGCTAACCCGGGTCAGCCAGAGGGGGCCTTCGCAGGATCCTGCAGGATCTGGCGCTCTGGCTGACCCCCGTTTGCACTGAACCCCGTCTCTTAGGCCCCGAAGAGTCTCTCCCGCAGCTCTCCTGGGGTCCGCCCAGGGCCGCCGCGGCGCCCAGGAGGCCAGCGTGCCTCCGGTGCCGCCAGCCCTTTGGGGCGCGAGTGGTTTCAAGCGCTCCCTCTCTCCTCCTCCCCCCCTCTCCCCCTCCTCCTCCTCCTCCTCCTCCTCCTCCTCCTCCTCCTCCTCCTCCTCCGCCTCCTCCGCCTCGGGGAGGGGTTTATCAGCGCTCCCTATCATAAACACCCCCTCCCGCAGGCGCCTCGCAGCCAAGAAAGACCAATGAGGCCGCCCCCCACCATCCTCATCAAGAACAATGTAAGAAGTCGAGTCTGGGGAGAAATCTTGGGTCGTGATCGGAAGGGGGCGCGAGCACGTTCTACTGCTTGTTCCCCAACTCGGCTTGCCTAAAGGGTTCTTCCTTGGTTCAAGCATGTGGGTGACCCAAAAGGGGGTCCAGTTGAAAAGGGGTGGTGGAATAGATTTGGGGCAATTGCATTGCAAATGTAATGCGCGTACTGCGCGAGCGAATTGCGTTGCATTGTATTGCAAGTAATGTACTGCACGCGAACATCCAGCAACACATGTGCGCCCCGGAATGTATCTCACGCCACCGATGCAATGTACTCCAACCCCACAAACCTATTGCACCAAATCTATTGCACCGCCCCCTGGTCGCTGGACCCCCTTTCAAGGGGAACGAAGAATGACGTAAACATAAAAACTCGGAGGTCCGCGCGGATTTCTCGGATCGGCGCTGGACCCCCCCCCCCTGGCGCGCGGAGCGCGCCAGGGGCGGCGCGGGAGGCGCCGCCAGGGGGGGTCCAGCGCGGATCCGAGAAATCCGCGCGGACCTCCGAGTTTTTATGTTTACGTCATTCTTCGTTCCCCTACTTTTGGGTCAGCCCGAAAGCAACGGTGCCTCGGGGGCTTACTCTGCCCGTTGCTCGGAAACCCCCTGGGTATTCCTCGGGTTCCTCGGGCTCCCCGCGCTCGGTGCCTCGGGGGCTCCCTTCGCCCGCTGCTCGGCAGCTCCCTGGGCTCCTCGGGCTCCTCGGCTTCTCCAAGTGGGCTTGCCTAAGGGGGTCCTACCTGGTGAAAGGTCCGGTGCTTCGGGGGCCTGCTTTGCCCGTTGCTCGGAGATTCCTCCGGCTCCTCGGGTTCCCCGCCCCCGGTGCCTCGTACTCTTACGTTGCCCGTTGCTCGGAGGTTCATCGGGTTTCTCGGAGACCAATCAATGGCAAGCAATGCCAAGCAATGACAAGCAATGCCAAGCAACCTCGTGGAACGCCTGGGCAGCATAGTGAGCCATCTAGAAACAACCACGACCGTGTGGGAGTGATTCTCTGGCGACTCGGAAGCGACTCGGGACGCTCGGAGCGCCTCTGGAACACCTCTTGGCCCCGCGGTCCCCCTATACGCTGTCGTGCCCCCCAGCCTGTGTATTAAGATATTCATTCATACACACATACACACGCAACTGCATGGGGTTGGGCCCTTCGCGAGGCACGTGTTCGCCACGACCAATGGTCGACCCTTCCCCTCCCCTCCACCGGCCCCTCACGATCCAATACAAGAGCGGTCAACCTCGAAGCAGAAAGTCGGATCGAACCGGAGTGTGCGCCGGATCGGGCCGCATTCGGCACGGAGCCGGCCGAAACAGGACGCACTGCAGGAATGCGTGCCAACGTCGACTCGGATCCGTATGCACAACAGCGACGTGTAAGCATCAGGCCACATAATGCGGGATGACGATTAATAAACAAAATGGGGGGGAACGAATAAAAAAATAGTTTTCTGCTATTTCTGCACAAGTTTCTGACTGGAGGAGAACGATTCAAAAATAGTTCTCCAGCCCGCGGCCGGTTTTGTCTAATCGTCATCCTGGGCGCCGCCGCGTGAACACGACCCCCGGCCATTTATTTATCGCCATCCTCCATTAGCGTCGCGCAGGACATCGAAATCGAGTCGGACCGAGCTGGCCGAACTCGAGGTCCGACTGGGCCGTGCAGGGTGGGGTCGCTGGCCTGCTGGCCGAGCGCGGGCTGCTGGGGCAGGAGCGCCGGCTGACCTCGGCCCCCGGACGTGGGGCGCCCACGGAGGAGGAGCAGCGGGGAGAGGGGAGCAGGGATGCGAGGGAGGAAGGGGGAGGATGGAAGAGGGCGAAGGGGGACTGGGAGGAGGCGGAGGGGGGGGAGGAGGAGGCGCAGGAGGAGGAGGAGGAGCAGGACGACGACGACGAAGCAGAAGGAGGAGGGAGCGGGAAGAGGAAGCTGGAGGAGGAGTGCGAGGGAGGAGGAGGAGGAGGAGGAAGAGGAAGAGGAGGAGGCGGAGGAGGAGGTGGATCCGTAGCCATTTTGGCTCAAGTCCGTAGCGGTGGCTCTGGACGCGAGCGTTTATTTTGGCACAGTGAGTTGGCGGCCCCTAACTGCTCTCGAAGGCAACACCTCCACCTCTTGTCCTCATACTGCATTGCGGTTTCATCCCGCTTTCGCTCACTGTGACAAGAAGTGCGGCTACCAGTACAATTACACCTTGCGCACCGCCTGCTGGGTGAGTGGGCTCAAGGTCCACCCAAGTCAGCCATTCAACATGTTCTCGATGTGGAGTCCCTTGCTGTCTGCGCGAAGCTCAGCGTGAGTCCCTTGCTGTCTACGCGAAGCTCAGCGTGGACGACTTCAGAAAGCCATCAGCGTCGAGGCCGCCCAAGCAGGTCGCGCGTGTGCTTGCCAGGCGAGCGCTCCTCCAGGGTGAGCTTGCTGCTTCGGCCAAGACTGCGAGGGTCGAGCAGGACCACATGTCAGACCAACGGGACAAAGCGCAGCGGCCTTAGAAGAAGAACATTATCGACCCACGAACCCGGGAAGGAATATAGAAATGTAACGCATGGCAGCGTTCTCAAAGACACCTGATTGTGTGACGGGCAAAGGCAATGCTGAGTGTATCGATCTTGATGTACCGTGCCGAAGGCTGAGCTGTGCTGCACCGTGCTGAATTGCGATGTGCCATGCCGCGGTTGTGCTCTATAGCGTCGTGGATCGAGTCCTCCTTTGCATCCGAGTCCTGACCGAACTGATCTGGATCTTAAGCTCGAGCTGCCTGAACACATAGTAGCTGCCCCAGAGCTAATTGACAGGGGGACATGCCAGGAGGACGCGCCGCGAAACGTCCCAAGGGACGCGCCAGGCGACGTGCCAAGGGACGTGCCATGGGGTCGCACCGTAGGACGTGCCAAGGGGACGCGCTACGGAACGTGCCAATGGATGTGCCACGGAATGTGCCAGGGGACGCGCCACGCGACGTGCCAGGGGGACTCGCCAAGGGACGCCCCACGGAACGTGCCAAAGAACGTGCCAAATTGCAATGCTGATTGTATCGATCTTGATGTACCGTGCCGATGTCTGTGCTGTGCTGTTCCGTGCTGAATTGCGATGTGCCATGTCGCGGTTGTGCTCTATAGCGTCGTGGATCGAGTCCTCCTTTGCATCCGAGTCCTGACCGAACTGATCTGGATCTTAAGCTCGAGCTGCCTGAACACATAATATCTGCCGCAGAGCTAATTGACAGGGGGACATGCCAGGAGGACGCGCCGCGAAACGTCCCAAGGGACGCGCCAGGCGACATGCCAGGGGACGTGCCATGTGGACGCACCGCGGGACGTGCCAAGGGGACGCGCTGCGGAACGTGCTGGGGACAAGCGTTTCGCTCGAGACATTCTGTCAAAATCCTTATTCTAGACATCCGCCTGAGCGACCTGGACACGTGAAAACAAACGTTTCGCTCAACACATCCTCAACACATTCTCATGCTACACATCCGCCTGGGCGAACTGGACACGTGAAAACAAGTAGCTCGCTCGAGACATCCTCAACACATCTTCATGTGAGACGTCCGCCTGGGTGACCTGGGCACGTGAAAACAAGCGTTTCGCTCGAGGCGATTTCAACACCTCCTCATTCTGGACATCCGCCTTGGCGACCTGTACACGTGAAAGCAAACGTCTCGCTCGAGACAACCTCAACACATCTTCATGTTAGACATCCGCCTGGGCGACCTGGACACGTGAAAACAAGCGTATCTCTCGAGACATTCTCAACACATCCTCATGCAGGCATCCGCCGGGGCAACCTGGACACGTGCAAACAAGCATCTCGATCGAGACTTCCTCAACACCTCCTCATTCTAGACATCCGCCTGGGCGACGAGGACGCGTCAAACAAAGCATCTCGCTCGAGACATAATCAACAAATCCTGGCGCTAGACCTCTGCCTGGGCAACCTGGAGGCGTGAAACCAAGCGTCTCGCTCGAGACATCCTCAAGACCTGGGCACGTGAAACCAAGCATTTCACTTGAGAGATCCTCCGAATTCAGGTCCCCAGGAGAGGACAATCTATAACACAAAACAAGCGTTTCGCTCGAGACATCCTCAACAAATTCTGAAAAACAAGCGTTTCGCTCGAGACATCCTCAAATTTTAATTCGCCAACCATACGCGACCTCGTTATTTATCGCAAAAGAAATTCGCCGGCCCTACAGCCGTCAGATCCGGGGGTAAACCTACTAAAAGAGAACCCTGGGCCTACGCCCTTTCCGGGAATAATCCAAAGCTAATACAAACATCGTCCACATACGATTTAGTAATGATTGCTTAGAAGTTCCTCTTGCAGAGGGACATGCCAGACTTAACCGTAGCAGCCACAGCCGCGGGCTCGACCACAAGAAACCTTCCACGAGAACCCCAACCCTCGACCCCAGGACGTCCATTGATTTTTGGCGTGGTGGCGTCACGCTTTCCGTACTGAAACCATAGAGACCCCAGAAACTCAGGGCACCCTGGAGGCAAGCAGGGTGTCTCTTGGCATGGGTCTCCACTGCACGTCTTCCCACAGGAGAGGAGGAGGAGGAGGAGGAGGAGGAGGAGGAGGAGGAGGAGGAGAAGGAAGAGGAGGAGGAGGAGAAGGAGGAGGAGGAGGAAAGGGAGGAGGAGGATGATGATGATGAGGAGGAGGAGGAGAAGGAGGAGGAAAGGGAGGAAAGGGAGGAAAGGGAGGAGGAGGAGGAGGAGGGAGGAGGAGGAGGAGGGATGAGGAGGAGGAGAGGAGGAGGAGAGGAGGAGGAGGAGAGGAGGGAGGAGGAGGGGAGGAGAGGGAGGAGGAGGAGGAGGAGGAGGAGGAGGCGGGGGTCCTGCCTTGAGACTTCCGGTGGCCCGCCCCGCTGCTGCACGGACACAGGTGGCCCGCCGCAGCTCTGGGCGCGAGGCCTTTCGGGCCGCGGAGCGGACGGCTCCTTCGACCATGCCTGGCGGAGTGGCGCCGAGGAGTGTGTGGCCTCAGCTCGGCGGCGAGCGAGGGGGGGGAAGTGAGAAGGAGAAGGCCCCCTCAGAAGGCTCGGAAGTCCCCTCGGCCTTCTGAGGAGCTTGTTCTAAACCTTTCCCGAAGACAAACACAACAACTTCTCAGAAGGCTTCTGAGAAGTCCCGCCGCCTTATGAGAGGGCCTTCTCCTTCTCATTCCCCCACCCCCACCGCTCGCCGCCGATCAGCGCACGAGTGCGCCCCACCTGCGAGCACTGAGGCCCGCGAGCCGCCCAGAACGGACTGTAGCGCAGCCTGCTGAGCCGCCCCGGTCTAAAGGGAGGCAATGTTCTACGCTTCGGCGAAAAACCCGGGTTGTCCGCTGGGGGGGGGAGGGGACAACCGGTACGGTGGTTGGACTAAAAGTGTCCACGCCTGTCTCGCCAAGACCTAGAGCTATCAAAGTACGACGGACCAACACGTATACCCCCTTTCCTCTAAATTCAAAGTTGACGGGCTCAGGAGGTATGCCAAAGGCCAGGGACAAAATGTGGACACCTCAACTTTGGGTTCGGGGGGGAGGGGTGCGAAGCAGGGGCATTGCGCAGTTCTGGTCCTTATCATGCTGCATCGCCTTCCCGCCCTGGGTGTGGGCACTCCTTGCCAACGTACCCCAGCTCAGCGTTGTCGCCTTGCGCAGCCCCGCGAATGTTCGTGCGCGCCAGTACGGCGCATCCCCTCCGGACATGCGCACCCCGACAAGGGTCAGGTTACCTCTTGAGCAGGGACCGACCGTCCCAGCATTCCGATAGTCCTACCACGGAATGTTCTTAGAACCCAGAAATGTTCGAATAACAGAAACAATGTTCTTAGAACATAAACCCGATGTGATAAAACAATACAGTCCAAACCATACATGTTCTAAGAACATTTTGTGGGAACCACACAAGGTTCTTAGAACATTGTTTGGTAGGACTGTAGGCGCCCCAAGACGCTTCGCCACTGCTTGAACCTTTGGGGGGGGGCGAGGGGGAGGGCTGGCCGGCACGACGACCCGCGTTATCGCCAGGCCTTAAAAAAAAACAGTCTCCAGGGAAACAAAGACAAGACACTCGAGGCGGGATGGGATCACCCCGCAGGGCGCGGGGCGGGACAGGCTGGAGCTCAGTAGGCCCTGGAAACGACAGGGCCGTTTTTTATTGACCGGTCCCGTTTTGCCGTTGTCTTGCCGGTTCCGACACCTTTTTTTATTTACTGGTTCCGTCGCTGTTGTTTTACCGGTTCCAGCTCCAGTTCCAATCCTGGAGCCGTTTTTTTTGTTCCCGGTCGCCGTTTTTCCGCTGGTACCATTTCCAAGAGACACTTTTTCAGAAACAATGAAAAAACGGCTCTGCCGTTTCCGAGGTCCACTAAGGGCTGGAGTATTTCCTGCGAGTGTCAGTGTGGGCGCGGCCGAACTTACCTGGGGAGCCTCCAAGGGGAGGAGTGAGAGCCCGCCGAGGGGGAGGCAATGATGAGAGAGGAGGCGAGAGGAAGGGGAAGGGGGAGGCAGCAGCGATTTCGGCGGCAACTGACTGGAGCCTCCCGTGCCATCTTGCCTTGCTCTTGCGGATCGACGCTGACCGACGCTAGTCGACGCTGGTCGACTCTCATCGACGGCAAATCAGCTCATCGACGCTACCTCTGCGCTCCCTCGTCGCTTGTCAGCCGCTAGCGCACGCCAGTGCACTCTAGAGGTAGAATTAAGTCGGGCGTGTCCCCTACAGGGGGATTTTCGACGAAAAATAAAAGATACCCCAAAAATAATCAAAAAATATTCCAAAAATAGTCGGGGGACTATTTCTTAGTATGTTTTGACCTTTTTGGTGCATTTTTGGGGTATTTTTTTTTTTTTCGTCGAGAATCCCCCTGCAGGGGGACAGGCCCGACTTCGAGGTAGAGCTGCGAGGCCGCACGAGGCTCCCACGAGCTGCCACCGCACAGGCAGACCACGGCCCGCGCGCGCGCCGGCCGCGGCATCCCCCGGGAGCCCACACGCGCAGAGGCAGCCGCCCTGCCCCGCCCGCGAGCGCCGGGCCGCCCTCCCCTCGCCTGCTGCGCCCCTGACCTTTCGGGTCGGGCGAATGGGGGGGATAGCAAAGGGGGGGTTTGAGAATCAGCTCACGTAGCTGATTTTCCTGGCGCCTCCCGGCGCCGGAGGCGGCCATGTATCGAGGAATGGGCCCCTCCGTGAGGCCGAAACCAGCTGCATGCAGCAAATTTCGTAACCCCTCCTTTCCCAATCCCCCCCTTTCGCCCTGCCCGAACCTTCCAGGAGGGCTAAAAAATAGCACGAGACTGAAAAACCGATGCCAGAGCTACTCTGCGTCTTGGTTTTAGGCTGTGTCGTTTCGTTTCTCAGGCCTTTAGGCCTCCCGTGCTAAAAATAGCTCTCTGGAAGGTCAGGGGCAGCGCAGGCGGGGCACACGGCGCGAGGCGCGGGCGAGACCTCGCCGGGAGCACCTGCCTCCAAGGTGCGGGAGGACCCTGGCACGTACCCAGTGGCGCGCCCAGTGAGCGTTGCCGCCACGGAGCCACGCTCGACCCGCCTCGTGGTTGACCTCGCCCCGAAGCGAGAGGCAGCCCCGGTATACCGGCTCGGCGTGGGCCTCGAGGGATACTCTGCGCGCGCGTAGGCAACGCCGCTGAACTGCGGAACGCGCGTGGACCTTCCCTGACCTTCCAGGAGGGCTAAAAAATAGCACCCGACTTAAGAACCTATCCAAAAGCTATTCTACTTGGTTTTAGGCTGTGTCGTTTCGTGTTTTAGGTTTTTAGGCCTCCAGTGCTAAAACATAGCTCTCTGGACGGTCAGGGTTCCGATGTGCACGGGCCTCGCTGCGCACTCTTTTGTTCCTCGGCGGCGAGGCAGGAGCGCCGCACCAGCGGTAAGCGCTCGGGGCGACGGAAACGCGAAGTGGCTGGCAGGGAGGAGGGGGGAGAGGAAAGACAGACGGGGCGGCCGTGGAGGACGGGAGGAGGCGGAGGCCGATCTGACGCACAACGGGGAGGCACAGGCGGGCGAGGAAGAGGAGGAGGGAGACGTGCGGAGGAGAAGGAGGGGGATGATGCAGATCAGAACGAGGCGAAGGATATGAAGAGGGAGGCGGAGGGGAGGAAGGTAAGGGAGAGGAGCAAATACGGACGGGGGCGGATGAATGAGGAGGAGAGGGAGGAGGAGGAGGAGGAGGAGGAGGAGGAGGAGGAGGAGGAGGAGGAGGAGGAGGAGGAGGAGGAGGAGGAGGAGGAGGAAAGGAAGGTGCTGCTGGCGCCGCTGGCGTCGGTGCGAGCAGAAGCCGGGCAGCGCAGCAGGCTCCGCAAGCGGGGTGGAAAGCTAAGCCGCCGGCCCATCATCGCCTGCTGGCCCAGCAGGGCCTGGAGTTCTGGGGAGGGGGCACACGAGGATGCTTGCGTCGTGGATCAAAAGAAAGACGGCGGAACATTTTTCGTAATCTTCTGCCTCCGCGGGGCCCTCGCCGGGCCTCGGGGCCGTCACAATACGACTCGGGATTAAACACCAGCCCTGGGGCAGGGTTCGGGGCATCCGGGGACCGAAGATGAACGTTGTGCGTCTGGGGAAGGAGGAGCGAGGCGGAGGGAGAAAAGAAAAGAGGAGAGAGAGGAGGGAGCTCACGGAAAAAGGGATCCTGCGGAACCCTGCAGACTGCTGCCGTCAAGCGGTCGTGATCGAGCGCCGTCGCTGACGGACAGTCTCCCTGCCGAGCCCCCCCCATGCCCACCCTCCGCCACAAGAACGCGGATGAATTTCCAAGAGCCGACCTCCCAAGGCGGCAAAAGCGGACCCCAGTTGTGCCCATACTGAAAGCTCAAAGGGTCCCCCCAAGAGGGGAGGGATGATAGAGGCAAATGACACGACACAAAAAGGGGGGTATCATGAGGAAGGCAGGAGGTGTGTGTATGCGTGTCTCTGTGAGTGTGCGTGTGCGTGTGCGAGTGCGTGTGTGTGTGTGTGTGTGTGTGTGTGTGCGTGTGTGTGTGTGTGTGTGTGTGTGTGCGTGTGTGTGTGTGTGTGTGTTTGAGTGTTTGAGAGGTCGTGTGCGTCCGTGCGTACGTGCGTGTGCGTGTGTGCGTGTTTGCGTGTGTGCGTGTGTGCGTGTGTGTGCGTGTGCGTGTGAGCGTGTGTGCGTGTGTGCGTGCGCGCACGCGCGTGCGCGTGCGCGTGTGCGTGCGCGTGTGTTGCGTGCGCGTGCGCGTGCGCGTGCGCGTGTGCGTGTGCATGCGCGTGTGCGTGTGCGCGTGCATGTGCGTGCGCGTGTGCGTGCGCGCGTGCGTGCGCGCGCGCGTGTGTGTGTGTGTGTGTGTGTGTGTGTGTGTGTGTGTGTGTGTGTGTGTGTGTGTTGTGTGTGTGTGTTGCGTGTGCGTGCACGTGTGCGTGCGCGTATGCGTGTGCGTGTGCGTGTGCGCGTGCGTGTGTGTTCGTGTGCGCGTGCGCGTGCGCGTGTGCAAGCGCGTGTGCGTGCGCGTGTGCGTGTGCATGTGCGTGTGCGTGTGCATGTGCGTGTGCGTGCGCGTGCGCGTGTGCGTGCGCGTGCGCGTGCGCGTGCGCGTGCACGTGCGCATGCGCGTGTGCGTGTGCAAATGCGTGTGCGTGTGCGTGTGCGTGTGCGTGTGCGTGTGCATGCGCGTGCGCGTGTGCGTGCGCGTGTGCGTGTGCGTGTGCGTGTGCGTGTGCGTGTGCGTGCGCGTGTGGGTGTGCGTGTGCGTGTGCGTGTGCGTGTGCGTGTGCGTGCGCGTGTGCGTATGCGTGCGTGTGCGTGTGCGCGTGTGCGTGCGCGTGTGCAAATTCGTGTGCGTGTGCGTGTGCGTGTGCGTGTGCATGCGCGTGCGTGTGTGCGTGTGCGTGTGCGTGTGCGTGTGCGTGTGCGTATGCGTGTGCGTGTGCGTGTGCGTGTGCGTGTGCGTGTGCGTGTGCGTGTGCGTGCGCGTGCGTGTGCGCGTGCGCGTTGCGTGCGTGTGCGCGTGCGCGTGCGTGTGTGCGTGTGTGCGTGTGCGTGTGCGTGCGCATGTGCGTGTGGGAGTGAGTGTGTCTGAGTGTGCGTGTATGTGTGCGTGGTCCTTCTGCACGCTGCACGCTGGGCTCTTCGCCCTCCGCTGCACGAGCGCCAGCCCAGCGCAGCCACCTCTCTTCTGCGCGCGATCAGGGCCCCCCATCTGCAACGCCAGGTGGAACCGACGCTCGCCGTCGGTCGGAGGAAGTGGGCATCAAGGTGAAGCAGAAGGCGTTGGAAGCAGGCTGGGCTTCCGCCCGCCTCCCGAAAGGCAGGGAAAAGGTGAAAGCACCCGAGCATTGAAATGGGCAGGCACTTGAAATGGATTGGGGCCCGAACAACAGAACAGATGCCTGCTTCCAACGGCCGGCGTGCAAGCGCGTCGGGCCGCAGCTCGGCCGCCGGAAGGGAACCAATGTGTGTGGTGGGGTGGCGGTAAAAAAGGGGCTTGCGCAGTGGAGGCCCATGCCAAGAGACACCCTGCTTGCCTCCAGGGTGCCCTGGGATTCTTGGGCTTCGATGGTCTTGCCACGGAAGGCGTGACGTTCCCACGCCAAAAACCAATGGACGTCCTGGGGTCTCAGGGTTGGGTTTCTTTTGGGATGTTCCTTGTGGACTGGCCTCCACTTTAAGTCCCTCCGCCCTAGTGAGCGTTTTTTTATTCGGCGTTTCGACATTGGGCGGAAGGGGGGGGGGGGTCTGGCTCAAAACCTCTGCTCAGTGCGGCTGTTTGCGACAGTGCGGCCCATGAGGGGAGACTCCACCTGCTCGAAACAGGCGCCAAAAACAGCCAAAATCCACTCCATGGGGAGGGGGGGTGCGAGGGCCCGCGCCGATCGGTAAAACAATGAATAAAACAACGATCACCTCGTGCTCCTCCTCTTGCATCTTTTTTTCTTGCGCAGGCTAATGGGGGCGCTCGCACGCCTCCACAGCGTCAGAGAGGGCACACGGCCACCAGGCGCCTCACATTGCCCGTACGGGCGGAAGCCCTCTGAGCAGGCAGTGCCTGGCCAAGAGCAGCAGACCAGCGGCGAAACGACCACATGTCATTGCACCGACCTTGCAGACGTTCTGCAGCGGATTGCTCGTCAACGAGGAACCCCCAATCCTCGAGCGAAAAACGGCGTGAATTTCACGTGGATGTTTTGTAGTCTCCATTCCCGGCCAAAGGAACTCCGCACGACGTTCCCTTCGAGATCCGGAGCGACATTCTCCAGGACCGCCCGGGCCCATCCCATGGTCTCTCGAACGGAATCCGCTCTGCGATGTTGGCGCCACGACGGCACGCAAGCAGTACTCCTCTTGCTCCAGTCGTCCCCCCTGCTCGTCCTGTTCCTGTCCGTGCCGCTGCCCGGGCGTGGGCGCCGCCCGACCCCACGACCCCGGCGAGGGGCGTCCTTTCCGCGGCGGACTCCCTCGTGCTTCACCCCGCTGCCGCAGCGACGCGCCCCTCAGTGCCGCTGACGGTCTCTTCCGTGCTGGCGCTCGTGATCGTCGCCGTCGTCGCGTTCGGCGCCTGGGAGGCTTTCTGAGGTGTGATCGCGGAGGCCGAACATTTCATGCTGCTCCTCCTGCGTGGTCTTCCACGTGCACCGCTTTCCCACGCTCGACCCCCTCCCCGTGCTCCCCCCCTCCCGCTTCTCTTGGCGTGCGGACGGGCGTCGCCGTCGCTTCGATGTCCGTGGTTGTGGACCGAGGCGGCCAAGGGCGTGATCTTCTCCGAGGTCGGGGCTGTGGCCGCCTCAATCGCCGCGGCCGCATCGTCCACTTCGGCGTGGACCTCTGCGCGAGCCGCTTCCGTTTGGGCTGCAATTTGGCACCGCCCCTCGGCGCACCGTGGTGGACCTCGTTGGTGTGGGACCCGTGCGCGACTCGACACCGCGAGCTGGAGCGAAGCGTTCACGCTGACGGCCTTCGCTCCAGGGCACGGCCCACCACCCCTTCGGTGGCAACTCAGAGGGAGGCTCCCATACCATCTTGTTGGCTCTTGCGAATCGGCGCTGTTCAGCGCCAGGCCGGCGCTGCGTCGACAACCGTCGACGCTGAATCGGGGCCACCTCGTGGATTGCCAAACCCTGGTCGACGCTGGTAGACGGCATCGCGAAGCCACGCAAAACTTCCACGCTCGGCTATCCGAGCGCCCCTGTGATGGAACCGCGGGGCGAGCATGGCCACCCCTCGGCCCGCCGTGCCCCCGCCGCGGCCTCGGCTGCGGCCCGCGGGCTCCCGGGGCACGGCCGCGCCTGGGCAGACCCGTGCTCCACGACACGGGGGTCCGCGGCGGGGCCCAGAGCGACCTTCGGCTCACGGCCCGCCGACCGCTGCACGCTGTGCAGCAGCAGCAGCAGCGGCCTGCCTGCGCACTTGTTGGAGGCTTGGAGATTGACACCAACACCAACACAGGGCGTTGCCTCCACCAGGGGAAGATGCTCCTAGATTTCGGTGTTGGTGGTAATCTTTCGGCCGCCGAGGAAGCCAGAATATTACCACCATCGCCGAGATCGGGATCGTCTTCCCTCGGTGGAGGCACACCGCCGATCGTGGTGTTGGTGTCAACCTCTAGGCCTGCGAACTTGGGTGCTGCCAAGGGGCACGTCGACCCAACTTCCCGACCTCGCGGGGTCTTCGGATGGACTGGAAGCTGTGGGCCGAACCCTCGGGGACACACCACGAGGGGGCGTCCACCCTCGATAATGATACGTCCGGATTGTGGATGAAGGTTAACGACCAAAGAGTCGAACCTACTGTGTTTCCCGTAGGTAGAGGTAAGAAAGGCAGAAGGTCGCGAGCCCTTTTCTCGTGCGCTGCAGAAGAGGCAGCGCGATGTTTAGTGCCAATACCTGAGCCGATACGTCGGCGGTAGATAAGGATATCATGGTGATGTGAACGGACTTCACGCGCACAGTTGAATAGCCTCCCAGAAAGGTGCGTCCGAGAGCTCCCCCGCCTTCCCGAGCGGCCCGATCCTTCGGGCGGAGCTCGGGGATCGGGGGCGGCACGTCGCCTGAGGGTGTTTGGACCCCCCCCCCCGCGCACCCGCAAAGCCGCGCACCCGGGGGCCCCTCGGAAGGCCCCTCTGACGCTGCCATCCCCAGGAGCGCCCGGGAGTGAGGAGCGCAGGGGCTCCTCTGGCCACGGCGAGGAGGAGGAGGAGGAGGAGGAGGAGGAGGAGGAGGAGGAGAGGCCTCGGCCACGGGTGGGCTCCCCAGCCAGCCCTCTGGCGGGGGCCCGCCAGGATGCACCCGCCGCCTCGGCGGCGGCGGCGGGATCCAGGCCCCCGAGGCGGGGGTGCATCCACGAGCCCGACCTTCCAGGAGGGCTAGAACATAGCACCCGACTTGCAAACCTATCCAACAACGAATTATCATATACGTCTTGGTTAGAGGCTGTTTCGCTCCGTTCTTCAAGTCTTTAGGCCTCCAGTGCTGAAGAATAGCTCTCTGCAAGACCAGGGAACCCACCGCCCGGCGGGGCCGATCTCCAGGGAACCTGGCAGGCAATGGACGTGGACACGTTCGCGCCCCGCCCCCCCCCCCCCCCGCCGGCGGCGGCGACCCCCAGCCGGCTGGCAGAGATGGCCACCCTTCTGCACGTGCGCAGGCCCCCGGGCCGCGGCCCCCCCAACAAAAACACACCCTGACCTTGCAGAGAGTTGTTTTTTAGCACGGGAGGCCCAAAAACCTAAAACACGGAACGACACAGCCTCAAACCAAGACGTGGAATAGCTCTGGGATAGGTTTCTAAGTCGCGTGCTATTTGTTAGCCCTCCTGGAAGGTCAGGGCAGGCCCTGCGGCGCCCCGGCGCGCGTTCTGCTTCGGCGATCTGGGCCGCTTCCCCTGCCGCTTCTGGGTCCCGCGCGCCTGCCCCTGCCAATGGTGGGCGAGTCTCGTGGCACCCCGCGGCCAAGATGGCCACAGAGGGCAGGGCGCCAGAGGGGAGGGGGGGGCGAGGGAAGAGGGGGGAGCAGAAGGAGTTGGAGAGGGCGAGGGCGAGGAGGGAGGGAGGGAGGGAGGGAGGGACGAGGAGGGAGAGGGCGAGGGTGGAGGGATGGAGGGAGCCTGCTGGCCCAGCATCGCCTGCTGAGCTAGCAGGGCCTGCTGCCCCAGCATCGCCTGCTGGGCCAGGAGGGCCTGCGGATCCAGCAGCGCCTGCTGCCCGAGCAGAGCCTGCTGGGCCATCATGGCCTGCGGGGCGAGCGCCGGCTGCTGTCCCAGCATTTGGACAGACCATTTTGCTTGCACGTGAGACCGACAGCGCACGCATCCACGTTCGGAAGACGAGCGGCGCCCAGACCGAGTCCTGCTGGGGCACTCGGTGGCCACACCAACCCAGCCCCGCACCCCACCCTCCCAAGGCCACAACCCCAGCTCCCGCCTTCCCAGAACGTGGTGCTGAATACTGAATGTGCACGCCAACACAACTAGATACTGCAGTGAGATAAGAAAGAACGCGAGCATCGGCGGGTCGCACAGAGGTTCTCAATCAGACGCCAAGCAAGCACTTGTATTGTCACAACAGGGCTAAGCATTCGAGCGAGCTCCTGCATCAATAACTGCTGATTCGAGCCATCTGTCCAATACACTGTTCAAGAAACGCCTGCCCAATTCCAAAGGTCATGTGAGATGGATTGCAAAACATGGTCATAGCGAAGGTCACGGGCCTCGACCTGATAAGGAGTGTGTCGCATCTGGCCCGCTAAAACACATGCCTGATCCCAGGAACTTCAAAATGTGATGTGAATCATCCATGGGTCGTCTACACGGTCTTCGTGAATGCCAGAAGACACATTTGGAGCACGGGAGTACGGTCCTTCAGCGCAATGCTCGCCAGAAGCGTTGAAGCTACCACTGTGCGGACAATAAATTAAAGATAAGGGTAAGGGTCTATGTCGCGAATACTGTGTGAGAGTTGCCAAAAAAGGAGGTTGTGGTCGCCTGCGCGCTGAGAGACTGACTATCACTCCTCTGCTCAGAGTCCTTCGCACCTGTCCAGGGGATCCCCATCTACTTGAGCATCTTGCGCGCTGAGCGTCTGATCTCTACCCGAGTCGCCTCATCACTGCGAACGTCATACTGGGGTGGACACAGCGAGATGCGCCATTGGATTCGGACACACCGACCTTGCAACTAGTAGGTGATCGACCTGGGGCCTGATTCGAATCCCCCCCATGGCCTCTACCTGCTCCTCCGGCCGACGGCTAGGAGTACATAAGCCGCAGCTCCGGACCACACAGTGCATCCAAAGCGCTCTCGCTGAGCGCTCAGGGCACGCAACCGAATACACTGAGCAATGAACTTGTGATCCCGCCTCTTCCTCATCATAAGCACGTTCCTCCTCCTCCTCCTCCTCCTCCTCCTCCTCCTTCTCCTAGCGTTACGGATTTGCCTCCTCCTTATGAATCACCCCAACCCGTGCCAAGCGTTCTATTTGAGTCAGTATCTCTTACAACGCCTGGCAGTCGTGGGGCATCAGATGCTCAGATGGCGCCAAAGTCAATGCGCCAAACGCAAAATTAAATCCCAAATTCGCGGCAAGAAAATCAAAATGAGATATCGAATGTTCCGCTAGTTCTGATGAAGCTGAATTCAAAATTACCAGCGAGCGCATGTGAACGCACCTGAAACATCCGAGACCGTAGCCTCGAGGTAGACTTGCGATGTCGATTCATCCACGACAATAAAGGGCTGTCAAGAGGCACCGAACAAGTATGAGCCCGACCCGGTCCAACACCTGCCAAAAGCAAGCTGCCCGAAACATTAACCATCACTATCTATTGGAAGAAATACGGTCCTGAGACAGCATGGCCTGCTGATCCAGGCCAGGGTACTGGCCCATCATGGCCTGCAAGCCCAGATCCAATAGAATGATGGGAGGAGAGGGGGGCAGAGGAGGAGCAATCCATAAATGATGATGATGCTGATGATGCTGCTGATGATGATAATGATGACGATGCTGACGATGACGATGACGACGATGACGATGACGATGACGATGTTGATGACGATGACGATGATGATGATGACGACGATGATGACGATGACGATGACGATGACGATGACGATGATCATGATCATGATGATGATGATGATGATGACGATGACGATGATGATGATGATGATGATGATGATGATGATGATGATGATGATGATGATGATGATGATGATGATGATGTTGATGTTGATGATGATGCTGCTGCTGCTGCTGATGATGATGATGATGATGATGATGATGATGATGATGATGATACCCCCTCCCCATCCCTCTCTCTCTGGCCCGTCGCCTCAATCGGACCCCCCACCCAATCTGGCATTCCGTGCCTCTCCCCATGCCTGCCTCATCCTCCACCCCTCGCCTCCCCGTCCCCGCCCCTCCCCTGTCGCCCACCCCCCCTCCCGTCGCCATCTCTCCTCCAGTGCCCTCTCCTTCCCCCTCTCCCCCACCTGCGCAGCACTCCTTTCCCTCCTCTGCACCCGCCCTTCCCGAGCTGCCGTCGCACCCCGAGTGCCTCCTCCGCAATGGCCTCCTCCTCCGCATCCGCCCCACCCCGCGCCCAGTCGTACGATATGGCTGACGGGACATGCTCAGAGGAAGGCCTGTAACGGACCACATGCGAACCCTACCCCTACCCCTACCCCTACCCTACCCGGCTCGGGAGCTCCCGGTCGAAGTGAACCCCACCTTCCCCCTTCAGAAATCGTGGGGGGTAATGGTAGGGCTCGCCTGTGGCCCCCCAGCCTGGGCCGCCACCAAGAGCTTCTTCAGCTCTCTGCGTGCCACCCGCGGGCCAGCGAATGCACGGGAGGTAGTGGCTCAGGCTCCTCGCACGAAGCCTCGCACCGCAAAAACCTACGCCGAAAGGCAATCACGCGGCAACGAGCCGCGGACGCTCACAGGCCCTAACACAGAGGCCAAGACTGGCCCCCCCGAAAATGGGGGTAGACACCAGCCTCTGGCCACAGTCAGAGGAGGACCACTTGGGGCACACCTGCAGGCCAATGCCCAGCCAGGCTGGCTCACCACCTGCTGCACCCGCGACCGTGTCTTGAAGAAGACACCTCGGTGCGTATAGCGGGGACACCTCTGTGCCAGCCCCGAGTCCGGGCTTTGTTGGCTCCCTGTTGGAAGAGGGGAGGGTCCCGCCCGGAGCCCGTGGAGGGCTGTGACTCCCTCACATGCATGTCCCTGTTCTGGGTTTTGCACATGTCGCGAGGCGTCGTCGTTGCCGAGGCGTTCGCGCTGGGCATCATAATCAGCACCATCACCATGATGATGATTATGATGATGATGATGCTGATGATGATGATAATGCTGCTGATGATGATGTTGATGATGCTGATGCTGCCGATGGCGATGCTTATGATTATGCTCATGATGCTGATGATGCTGATGATACAATAATATGATAATGATAGCGACCAGAACGATAATGATAATCATCAGTATCATCATCATCGTCATCATCATCATTATCACCGCCGTCATCACACCAGCATCAACATTGCAATCACAATCACAATCATAGTAATACTGATAGTCAGTGTCAACAACGTGTTCACCACGTTCATCAATATCACCACAGTCGCTACCATCATCACCACCATTGCTTACATCACCGTCACCATCATCATCACCATCACCATCACCATCATCATCATCATCATCAGCATCATCATCATCATCATCATCACCATCAACACTATCCTCATCATCACCATCAACAACAATAACATCACATTGTCGTCGTCACCATCAGTCTTACTATTATTGTTTATTACGATAACCGTTATTAAAATGTCTATTCTCATTCGCATTGCTACTATCATTGGCATTCGCATCAACACCGTCACAATAGGGTCACTGGCCGATGCCCCGTGAGCGCAGCACAGTCCGTTGCCATCGCATTCGCCAACGAGGCAAACATGATTGAATAGATTTGCAGCTTCGCCAGGGAACCGAAATCCGCCGACCCCCCTTGGGAACCAACAGGCTGTCGGGATCAGGTTTCCTGCACCCTGTGCAAGTCCAAGTTTCCAGTTTCAAGTGTTCTCGTTTTAGCTGTTGCTTCCTACTGTAATTTGGTACAGTCCGCGCAACGGGCGGGGTGGGGGCCAAACCGCCGATGACCCCAACCAAGGATCTCAGGATACGCAACAAATACGGCAGACTCGCGCCTCTGACGGTATAATCCTTCGTAAGCTGCATCAGGCTCGCGCCCCCGAGGCATTCACCCCCTTCTATTCCCAGATTCGCGCCCCCGAGGCCACGATCCCAAGCAAATTGCCCCCGCGGCGCACTCCCGAGGCCACTACCACGGGTAAATGACACCAGGCTTAGGTCGGGCATGTCCCCCTACAGGCGGTTTTTGGCGCGAACAATTAGAAAAATAGCCAAAACATACCCCAACATGATCGAACATTGTTGAAAATCGTACCCATACTATTTTGTTTTACTATTTGTGGATTTTCCCCCTGTAGAGGGACAGGCCCGACTTAACACCAGGCCCGCGCCCCCGAGTCCACGATCCCTCGTGAATGGCGCCAGCTCCGCGCCAGCGAGGCCACGATCCCTGGCAAACGACAGCAGATCTGCGCCCACGAGGCCACGACCCCGCCGCAGATTACGCGAGACTTGCGCCCCCGAGGCCGCGAACCCGTCGCAATCGCCCCGGATTCGCGCCCCGAGATGTGCGCCCGAGGCCACGATGCCTTGCAAATTGCGCCGGGCTCGCGCCCCCAAAGCAACACCCCCCATAACTTACAACAAGTTCGCGATACCGAGGAAACCATCCCACCCCACGGAGGCTGCTCAAAATCGCCATCCCCTCCCTGGAGCAGACCAGCTCAAGTTGAATGTTTTCGGACGTGTGTTCGGGCGGTGCGTCACCCCCCCACCGTTTCCTGACAACCTGCGCTAGACCCTCGCCCGCGATTTCTCGAAAATGGCAAACCCTGCAAGAACTCAAAGCCAGCCCCAACCGCGCGGTGTTCCCAAGATGGCCTCAGCTAGCCACCAGTGTTCCAAGGAGGGCTTCTGATGCACAACGTGAGGCGCCCCTGGAAGACAACCGAGGGACCGAGGGCTCCATAACTTCAGCATCTCCATGTGGCTTCTGGCTGCCAGCCCTCCTCGCAGGATGTGCTCCCAGAGCAGCTCCAAGACGGCGCCACAACATCCCGAGGCTGCCCCTGGCATCACCAGTTCTGGACAGGACGGGAGGGGAGGCTGGCGGCGGAGGGCGAGACCCTTGCGGATATCCAGGCGCCGCGTCGGGAAGGGAAGGGGGGAGCCCCGTGCTCCAAGGGGGGGGTGGTTGGTGCAGACTCCATGGGTTCGAGCAGCGCCGCCTTGTACTGTACCTTGACCCCGATGCGCCCACACAGACAATCCAGGCGTGGCCATCTCGTGGGAGGAAACTCGGGGAACAAGTGCGAGCACGACCCCGGATCATCAATAACTTTTCTTTAATCTGCAGGGCGAGAGCGAGCCTCTTCCGCTAAAAGCTAGGCGGGCTACGCACAGCTTTAATTAGGGAGACAGGGCACAGGAAGGCGGGGCCTCAGGCGGCCAGAGCGGGCGGGGCCCGGGGACCAGGCGGTGCCGAAGTGGATGTGCAGGAAAAGGTACGCCATGGACAGGGACCGAGGGCGAAGACCCAGAAGGCGAAGGAGCGGATTATCAATAACACCCAACGATGAAATAGACCAGCTGGGCTGCGTGGTAGCGGACTAGTAGGACGAACTCTGAAAAAACAGAACCATGGCGCGTGGGCACGGGCATCTCTGCGACTGGAAACTTACCGGGGGATTCATGCTGGGATCCTACGGCAGTCCTTTGGGCAGGGCTCGGCTCAGAAGTAGATCTGAGCTCGATTGGGGCCTGTATCGGATTGGGAACCTGCTGGGCTCCTGCTCGCATCTGCTTTGAATCCGAATGAGATCCTAGAAGGGTCCAATAGAACCCCCATTGGGCCAAATTGTCTCATCGAATGCGATTGGGGTCATATTGGTATCCAATTGGGGTCCGACTCGGATCCGAAATGAATCCTGTAGGATCGTAACCGTACTCCGTTGACATCCAATCGGATTCCATTTGGATTCCGATCATGGTATTGCTGCAACCTTATTGGGATTCGATTGGGCTGCTACCAGAATCGGACCAGAACCATATTGACATCTCATTGAGGGCTGATTGAATCCGATTGGAATGCGAATGGGATCATACTGGGATTATGCTCTGACTTCCTACCATTCCCCAAGCAGTGCGATGCGATGCGACCACCGTTGCGGACAGCGTCCGGGCCTAGAGCAGACCAGGTGGGTGAGGCCATAGCCTCTAGGATCTAAGGTGTCTGGATTCATGCAATGAGAGACATGTAAAAAGTCAGGAGGAGAGGGGGAGGAGGAGGAGGAGGAGGAAAAGAAAGTCCTTGGTGTCGGTGTCGGCGCGGGTTGGGCGAGATTACGTCGTTGGTTTGAGTCCTGGGTGCTGGTCTAAACCCCAAGCAGTGCTTGCACTCGAGGGCTCCTGCTGCGTTTTCCTGGGTCGTTGGCCGATGATTCCCAGGTGCTCTCGCCACGGTGCCGCCTGTGCCGCCTCCCGGGCGCCGCGTGCGCTGAGGGGGGGAGGGAGGAGGAGGAGGAGGAGGAGGAGGAGGAGGGGGAGGAGGAGAAGGACGAGGAGGACGAGGAGGAGGAGGAGGAGAAGGAGGAGGGCGGAGGAGGAGGAGGAGGAGGAGGAGGAGGAGGAAGAGGGCGGAGGGAGGAGGAGGGGGCGGAGGAGGAGGAGGAGGAGGGCGGAGGAGGAGGAGGAGGGCGGAGGAGGAGTATTTTCCTGAGTTTTTGTCGGCCGAGGTCGCGACACGTTGCCCCCCAGCTGCCGCCTCGTGGGCTTGTTTGATTTGCTTTGTGCCGCCTCTCGTGGGCTCCTGTGGGCGCCCCCTTTGCGCTCGCGGGGGCTCTGTCGAGGCTCGGCGACGTCGCCGCCCGTGCAGGCTCGCGGGCGCTCGAGAGGGCGCCCCGTGCGCGGGGCGGCTTAAACCACGTAGCCTGCCCGACACGGCTGACACCACGTCCGCCTCCTCCTCCTCCTCCTCCTCGTCCTCCCTCCTCCTCCTCCTGCTCCTGCTCCTCCTGCTCCTGCTCCTCCTCCTCCTGCTCCTCCTCCTGCTCCTCCTCCTCCTCCTCCCCCTCCTCCTCCCATCCTCCTCCATCTCCTCCTCCTAACTCCTCCTCCTCCTCCTCCTCCTCCTCATCATCATCCTCCTCCTCCTCCACGTCGCTGAGGCCAGATAACTTTCACCGCCGGCTCGTACCATAGAGTGTACGGCATAGCTTACACCGCACGCTGTTTACCTCCACGGCCCGAACAAGACACAGTACACGATATAGCCTACCCCATACAGATTACACCGCATCTATGACAACTCCACTGCGCAACAGAGCACACTGTTTGGGTCTCACGCTGGCTAACATGTTGTCCTATTGAAACCCGTATTGGCTTCGCATCGGGATGCTAAAGAGCATGAACGAATCTGAATCGTCATCCTCCTCCACTCCCTGTCGCATGTGCATTTCAAACCCTGTTCGGAAATAAAGGGCTCTGTTGTGCTCATTTTGTTCAGTGCACGCACGTAGGTCGCCCCCGGACACCGCTCGCTCTCTTAGCACACGGAACAACATAGAGATATACACATAAATATATAATTTACACATATTTATCTATATATAAGTATAAGTCCAATAAGCCCATAATACGATGGGGAAGAGGAGATGTGAAGATTATATCTACCGGCCCCCCTGCGGGGCCAACAGGCAGCGATGACTAGGCTTTCCAGTTCCATGTGTTAGCTCCAGTTCCCAGCGTTAGCATCAACACTGCGATGTTCCAGTTCCAATGCTGTAACGGTCGAGCTCCAGGGAAGCGGCCCGTTCCACTCCCAGAATCACATGTTCTGGATCTCCGGGATGCCTCGGGGCACAGGAAGTGCGACTGATTCGCACCCCCGAGGCCACAAGCCTCCGATGCCTCAACCCCTCGTGAATTGCACAAGGCCGAGGCCACAATATCTAGCAAATTACTTCGGGTTCGCGATCTCGAAGCCACAACCCCTTGTAAACTACGACTGGCTCGCGCCCCCGAAGCCACAAAGCTTTGTTATTTACAACTCGCGCTCCCGAACACACACACACACAACTTTTCGTAGATAACATCTCGCTCGTGCTCCCGAAGCCACGAACCCATCCAGCAGAGGCTGCCCAAAGGCAGAGCCCCCGTTCCAATGCAGAAGACTACCACTTTGGCGTGAAAACCTACGGTCGGGAACCTCGCGTTAGCGTGTCGCGGCTGCGGCCTCTGCGACACGCTATGCGCTGCAAGCGGATAGCGTGTCGTTCCGCTCCGCGGGGCGGGAGGCTGAGAAAGGCTTGGCAAGTTGACGCTGAGGCATTGGGAAGTGGTTTGTGTGTCGCGCCGAAGCGCGGAGGGCCAGGACAGGCAGCGCGACACGTCGAGCCAAAGTTCCTAACTCCAAATCCGTAGACGTATCGAACGTTGCTCTATTCGGGGCCCCCGAGAAGTCCCGACCGTTTCCCCAGGGCTGCCTTTCCATCCCGAGTCGTCCTTGAACGGTCCCGAGGCCCGGCGAAGGCCTCCAGAGCCTGAAAACGACGAACTACCTCTCCGCCGACGGAGGTCCTCTTGCACGTTCTCGTCGACGCCTGTCCGTGCTGCACAAACCAACACCTTTGTTCGACGCGCTGGATGCCTGGGGCCCAGCGAGACACCCGTCCGTCAGATGTCCGGGACGACGGCGACGGCGCCGCGCGCGGGGCGGGGCGGGGGGGGAGCAGCATCGTTCCACCGATCCACCTCCCCACTGGCGTGGTCTAGACCCCACTGGCCGATGTACCCCCCCCCCAGATGAGGGAATCATTGTCATCATCGTTGTCTTCGCCCTCGTCGCCACCGCCATCACCATCATCAACATCGCCGTCGTCGTTGTCTTCGCCGATGTCGTCGCCACCATCATCACTCAATACCCTCCGCACTACCCGTGAGACACGGGTTTGGGATGCCTTCAGGCCGTTGGCCCCTCGAGCCCCCGTCCCGAATCCCGATGGGTCTCTTCGCGGGCCCGGGGAAGCCTGGCTCTCCACTCCCTCGGGGCGCCCCGCGTGCCTGTTGGGCACTTAAGCCACGCACGCCCGCACGACCTCTGCCGAGCCAATGGGGGCCCCAAGACGAGCCAGGAGGGCCTCAAGAGGCAGCCCAGGCGGTCCCAAAGGTGCCCCGAGTCGCCGCACGATCGGTCCCGTACGCCCAAGATGGTCCCACGACAGCCCGCGATGCCCGAGAAGACTCCGAGGCGCCCCAGGGGAGCCCCGAGAGCCTTCCCAGGAGGACCCCGAGGTGCCAAGATCGTGGATGATCCTGCAGTTTTTCACTGTCTCCCAACACCGCCCCAAGAAGGCCCCAGAGGCTCCCAAGAGGGCCCCAAGACGGCCCAAGAGGCCCCACGACGGCCCAAGAGGCACCCCCAAGACGCCCCACGAGGGCCCTACGATGGCCCCAGGAGGGGCACAAGAGGAACACAAACCGAAGATGCGAGCCTCCCGCCCCAAGAGGCACCCAGGAGGCCCCAAGAGGCCCCCATGAGGCTCCTCCTCCTCCTCCTCCTCCTCCTCCTCCTCCTCCTCCTCCCATCCTCCCATCCTCCTCCTCCTCCTCCTCCGCCTCCTCCGCTTCCTCCTCCTCGTCCTCGTCCTCCGAGACCCCCAAGGGGCCCCCACGAGGCCCCCGAGAGGCCCAAAAGAGGCCCCCAAAAAGGCTCCCAGAACAGCCCTCCAGTGGCGTCAAGACTGCCTCCAAGTGGCCCCCGAAAGGACCCGACGAGATCCGGACGAACACAAGACGCCTCAGACACACACACACACAAGACATGCACGGTGGCGGGATGCGCAGAAGGCCATTCGGTCCGCCGCCCCTCGTTGATTTATTATACCGGTGCCTGTCGTGCTGGATGCTACGGCTTGGTCCCGGTCCTTTCCACGAGAACTCCCCCCTGGGGGCTTCGGTCCATGCCGCTGGCCAAACGGAAGGCTCCGCCGCTGCGCAACCAACGTCTCCAAGACGGTCTCGATGGCCTCCAAGCCGGCCAAGATGGCCCAAGATGGCCTCCAAATTCGCCCAAAGCGGTCCAAAATGGTCTCCAAGACGGCTCAAGAGGGTCCCAAATGCCTCCCAGCCCGCCCAAGAAGCCACCCGGGCGGTCCAAGGTGGCTCCAAAAGGCCCCCAAGAGGCCTCCAAGACGGCCCACGTGGCCTCCAAGAGGTACTCCAGGAGGGCCCGAAGATGCCAAAATCATTTGTATATTTTAGATGTTCTAAGTGTTCGGGCATTTGCGTCTTTTCGACCTTCCCACAGGCCAAGACGGTCCTTGAGGCCCCCAAAATCGCCTCAAGGCCTCCAAGATTATACCTCATGACGACCCAAGAAGCCTACAAGACGGCCACAAGAGGCCGCCAAGCTTACCCAAGATCGTCGAAGATCGTCGAAGATGGTCTCCAAGACGGTCCAAGAGGTTCCAAGATGGCTTCCAAGACGGCCCAAGAGGGTCCAAGACGCCTCCAAGTTCGCCCAAGAAGCCTCCAAGACGGCCCAAGAAGCCCCTAACAAGCCTTCAAGACGGCCCAGAGGCCTTCAAGAGGTTCCCAGGAGGGCCCGAAGAGACCAACATCATTGGTTTTCTCTAGGTGTTTGAAGGATGTTGGCATTTGCTTTCTTTCGGCTTCCGACGGCCCAAGACGGCCCAAGAGGCCCCCAAGATCGCCCCAAGATGGCCCCAAAGGCTTCCGAGATGACCTCACGACGGCCTATGAAGCCTCCAAGACGGCCCCAAGCGGGCCTCCGAGTTCGCCCAAGATGATCTAAGATGGCCTCCAAGACGGCCCAAGAGGTTCCAAGATGCCTTCAAGTCCGCCCAAGAAGCCAGCAAGACGGCCCAAGAGGTCTCCAAGGCGGCCGAAGAGGCTTCCAAGAGGTCCTCCAGGAAAGCCCAACGAGTCCCAAATCAATGATTTTCCTTAGGTTGTTACAGATTGTGGCATTTGCTTCTTCTCGGCCTTCCGAAGGCCCAAGTCGGCCCAAGATGCCCCCAAGGTCGCCCGTAGAGCGCCCAAGCGGCCTCCAAGATGGCCCCAGGACGACCCAAGAGGGTCCCCAAGACGGCCAAGAGTGGGGCCCAAGACGACTCAATAGGCCTCCATGACGCCTAAGCTGGCCTCCAAGACGGCCCTGAAGCGCCCCAAGGGGGCCCCAAGAAGGTCTAGAGGGGCCCCCAAGACGGCTTCTGGCAGCGTGAGACGGCCCAGGAACGCCCCAAGACGGCCAACGATGCCCCGAACAAGCCCCCACCCTGAAGAGGCCTCGAAGAGGCTCCCAGGAAGCTCCCGGAGACTCCAAGAGTGCCCCGAGGGGCTCCCAAGAGGTCTCCTCCTCCTCCTCCTCCTGCTCCCTTTTCCTTTTTCTCCTCATTCTCCTCTTCCTCACCTGTTCCCCGAAGGGTTACGACGGCGGCTGGGGGAATACATGGACTGATAGTTTGGCCAAGACCTAGCCCAACTTTCGGCCACATAGGCTCTTCCAAAAAGGCAGGGCGCGGCGGTGAATCGCCTATGTTCCTGCAGACTTCGAAGGGACTTTCCCCAACTGGTGTGTTGGGATGGTGGGGCTGGGATACCATGGCCCAGTGGGGATGGGGATCGGCTAAACGATACTGAGGGGGGGCGCCGTGGTGACCGGCAGCTGCCCCGCACTGGCGCCGCTGCTGGGCACGGTGGCCTGCAGTCCGGCGGGGAACTGAGCCTCCGCCATCGCCGGCAGGCCTGCCGCCAGGGACGCTGGCGAACGTTGGGGTGGACGACGACGCACGTCGTGGCACACTTTTGTGGCGGACTCGGCGAACGCATTAGTTGGTAGGGCTGGATCGGGCTGCGAAGAAGCGAAGTGGCACCAGAATAGGAGGGAACGAGGGAGGGCGGCCGCGGAGGGAGGGAGGCCGCTCATCATATACGCATCCTGTTCACATTCCTTGGCACGCCCGCCAGCTTCTGGCAGATGAGCGGCCCCAACAGCTGACACCCCGACACCAACGACGCCGAGGTTCTTGCACAGCGTATTCGCTGCCACCGTTGGCTTCAGAATTCGGGTCGCCAGCGCCCTCTTGGCGAAGGCACGCGGAATTCTGAGCCCGAATCGCCAGATCCAGATCCATGCTTCCACACTGCTTGTCAATAGGCGCGGTCTTCTTTCGCACCATGCCGAACTTCAGGGTCGACTTGAACTCTTGCGTTTCCACGATATTTCGGGGATGGACAGACCTCCCTTTAGTAAAACGTGGTTTAGTGAAAACGACCTCGGGCCCAAACCTGGCGGGCGCAAGCCTGGAAAATAGCGGCCACGGCGCCCTCTCGAGAACCGAAAACGGACAATTCACTAATCGACGTGTCACTGTTGGGGGTTCTGTCCAGCCCCGAGATATTGCGGTAATCACGGGGAGATGTGGTAAAAACCTACGATCGGGGGCGCGCAGACATGGATTGGCAATCCGTGGATCTGGCGCGCGGGCCGTCGTGGTTTCCACGGCGCGAACACGTCTGCTAGATGCTCGTGCCGGGGACCCTCCTGGAGCCACTCGCTCTCCGCTCGTGCGTCGATGCATCGTCGAACGTCCGCCGACTCGAGTCGAGCTTGCATCAAGCTTGACTCGAAGCTGAGTCGAGAATAGAGTCGAACAGATCCCTTCCTTGCCCCCAGACGGTCCCCCAAACCGAAAACAAACAAAGTCCCCACAATCACCCAATGGCCGAAAACAGCCCGTCGTGATTTTCTCACGACACGAACATGTCTGGAGGAGTAGGGGAACAACAAATTGCATGAACATACAAACTCGGAGGTCCGCGCGGATTTCTCGGATCGGCGCTGCACCCCCCTCCCTGGCGCGCGGAGCGGGCCAACGGCGACGCCGGAGCCGCGGCCAGGGGTCTCCAGCGCCGACCCGGGGGACCCACGCGGACCTCAAAGCTTTTATTGATTTATGTCATTGTTGGCTCCCCTATCCTCCTCCTCCTCCTCCTCCTCCCCCTCCCCCTCCTCCTCCTCCTCCTCCTCGTCCTCCTCCTCCTCCTCCTCCTCCTCCTCCTCCTCCTCCTCCTCCTCCTCCTCCTCCTCCTCCTTAGAGCATGTCTGGAGGAGCAGACGGCAGCCTGAGGCCGCGGTGGCGGCACCGGCCGCCAGCTCAGCCATCCGCCCGCGCGCCCGCGGCAGACTCCGGCGCACCGCGGCTGCCCCCCGCGGGACTCGCCGGGCCCCATGCTGGCGAGCCGCGCCCTGGGAGCCGAGGGGAGGCGAGGACACTGCGAGGCAGCCCTGCCTCAGGAGTCGTTCTTGGAAGCAGCAAGGCAACTGCTCTGACTGTTTGACACGAAACTATCTCGATCTCGAGCATGAGAACGGGACACTGGCATGAAACGGATCAGAAGCGGCTCTGGAATGGCAACTGGAATCGGAATCGGAACCGGAAAGAAACGGCCACGACACTGGAAACGAAAGCGGCACCAGAACCAGACAGATACTGCAAAACGAGACGGGGGAAAAACGGCCCTGCCGTTTCCAAGAACCGCTACCGGCCCTGCTGCGGCAGGCTCCTCTCCCTCCTCGAGGCCGTCCCCCCCCCCCCCCCCCCCCCCCCCCCCCCCCCCCCCCCCCCCCCCGTGTGTAAGACAGCCCAGCTTCGACTTTTGGCTGTTTGCGGCCTCTGATGGGTCCTGGCCAGGCCCCAGGGCCGTCAGAAAAGCGAGTCGGGACGAGAGCCCAGCCCTGGGGGGAAGAGGCGGGACTTCCAGGGGCCGCAGATGGAAGATCAATACCTCGCATGGTCTGGGCATCCTCATCCCCGTCAGCTTCCTCCACCTCCTCCTCCTCTGTCTCTTCCTCCTGCTCCTTCCCCTCCTCGCCCGACTATTCTTTCCCCCTCTTCTACCACTCCACTACCTCCTCGGCCCCTCCTCCTCCTCCTCCTCCTCAACCTCCTTATCAACGTTATGTTACTTCCTCAGATTCCTTCTCCTTCTGCTCAATCCTTCTTCGTTTCCTCCTGGTGCTCGTCCTTACCATCCTCCTCCCTCCTCACCCTCCTACTACTCATCCACCCACCACACCGTCATCAATAACGCCAGCACCGAAAGCTTACCCTCATCACCATGTCGGATAAGCGGGGGCAACTTGGACAGGAACGCCGCAGGCCGACATCATTCAAGCTGAATTCGAGGAACTCATGTACAGTCTACGACATCCGAGAGGTGACAAGGGAGAGAACGACGACGCAGAGAAAGTCGAGCGTGCTCAGCCGAGAACGCGGAGAAGGCCAAGGATAACGAGTTTGGCAAAACGAACAAAAGGCGAAGGGAAGGAGCAAGGATGACCCTGGAACGGTTCACGCCCGAACGCCTCGTAAAGGGACGGCCCGCCCGACCCGACCGTTAGGACCCGCCCGACTTGCCAATCAACATCCGCCAAATCCGCCTGCCCGTTAGGGTTCGCCTGGTCCACCCTTCCAATAGGGTTAGGTCGGCCGTGTCCTCCTACAGGCAGATCTTGGACGAAAGATAAAAAAGTTAAACGATACTCAGAAATATTCAAAAAAAGTCAAAAAGTTATCCCCTGACAGATTTTGACTATTTTTCAATATTCCTCCTGTAGAGGCACACGCCCGACTTAACATTAGGGCCCCTCCGTCCGTTTCGCAAGTCATGGGCTCGATGGCTTGAAAGCCCACGCCCCGCCCGCCCGACCCACCCGCTAGAAGGCCTGACCGCCCGAGCAGCCCGGACCGGTAGAGGGCCTGCCCGCCCCACAGCCGCCAAACCAGCCCGTCAGAATCCGCCCGCCAGAACCGCTCGTGAAATGACGCCTGCCCGGACCAGGGCCGCGCTAGCGGCGATGTTGGTTAACGGCGATGTTGGGAATCCGATGTTTGTGACGCCCAGCTCGCGCAGAACAAATGGTAGGAAAGTACGAACCACACTTGCCTACTTTTCAAATGTGCGAATCTGTCGAGCGAAAACGACGCAGCGAGCTGCAGGAAAAAACGAACCACGCGTTCCTACAATTGGCTCGGCCACGAACCACGCCTTCCTACAGTTAGATCTCCTACTAGTACTCGCCGTCAGCCAACACACCGCCAGCGCGTCTGCGGGCCGTGATGCCACACCCGCCCGCCTCGCCCGCCAGGGAACGCCCGACCCGACCGTGCGCCGGGGCCTGCCCTCTTTTTCGCCCGACTGCCGCCCCGCCCGCATCCGTGCTCCGCGCGCCCCATACCCCCGCCCGCCAGGGCCTGCCCACACGACCCGCCCTGCCGAAACCTCAAGCGCCCAGGGTGGCACTTAGCACAGTTGGTCGCGCCTGGCGCCTGAGCTGCCACGTGCGGCTTGTTCTCAGGTGAGCGTGTTTTTTACTCGGCGCCGCTTCGACACTGGGCGGAAGGGGGGGAGGGGAGAGGGAGGGGGTCTGGCTCCGGACCTCTGCTGAATGCGACTGTTTGCGACAGGGCGTCCCTTGTGGGGGAGGCTCCAACTGCTCGAAACAGGCGCCGAAAGACAGCCACGATCCACTCCAAGGGGGGGGAAGGGGGGGGGGGCGTGCGAGGGCCCGCGCCGATCGGCAAAACAAGGAAGAAAAAACGATCACCAGTATTGATACCCTGAGAACTTAGCGGACCCTGGAGACGACAGGGCCGTTGTTGTCACCGGTTCCGTTGCGCCCGCTGTTTCTGCTGGTTCCGTCGCGCCGTGTTTCTTGCCGGTTCAGTCGCCGTTTTGTTTCCAGTTCTGGCTCGGGCTCCAATCCTGGAGCCGATTTCTTGTCGTTTCCAGTCGTCGTTGCTTTGCCGTTCCATTATCAAGAACCACTATCTCGAAAACGTTTTAAAAACGGCCCTGCCGTTTCCGGGGCCAACTAAACCTGAGAACTCCAGCTGGGACCACCAGGGGGCGCCTGGAGGGAATTGTAATCGCGTGCAGCCACTGTGCTACGGTGAATGCAATAGATGAGGAACCATGGGATAAAGAATCCAGGGTCTGGAAGTCAGCGGAACTCCATTCGTGTATTGGCCACGGATGTCGTCGCCGCCCGAATCAGACAAGGAATTTTCCAGGGTCTGAATCCTCCTGGGCACATTCTTTAACCAATGCCCCCGCCTCTGGAACAGAAGCAACAACATATAAACATAATTTTTCCGCGCTCCGCGCGGATTTCTTGGATCTGCGCTGGACCCCCGTCCCTGGCACGCGGAGCGCGCCAGGGGCGGTGCCGGAGGCGCCGCTGGGGGGGCCCAGCGCGGATCCCAAAAATCCGCACGGAGCGCGAAAAGTGTATGGTTATGTGGTTTTGCCTTCTTCGAGACCCGGAGCACCAAGACCAAAGACGACGGGGCGCATTTTGAGCGACAAATAGAAAACGAGTCAACAAGTACCCTAGAATTCTCAAACCTAGGAAAAAATAACCCCCAGGCTATTTTTCATAATTGTAAATCGTCCTCCTGTAGAGGGGCACGCCCGACGTAATACTCGGAGCACCAAGACAAAAGACGACGGGGCCTGCCTGGCCACGGCAAGCCTCGGCCACGACGAGCCGTCCCCCGGCCAAGACCCGAGGTGCGGCCCGACGGCGGCCAGGACCCCTGCCGAGCTCACCGAGATCCTTGTTTTTCAGCGCGCTGGCCGTATGGCCAACGGCACAGCGAATGAGGGGAAAGGAGGAGGAGGCGCAGGAGGAGAAGAAGGAGGAGACGAAGGAGGAGGAGGAGGAGGAGGAGGAGGAGGAGGAGGAGGAGGAGACGAATGAGGAGGAGGAGGAGGAGGAGGAGCGAGCGTCTCAGAAACGTCTCGTCACCTCACCCGCGCTCGCGCACAGCCGCGCGTGCGCCCGCCTCGATGCCTCTCAGGGGCATCGTGTCGACGTCGAGGGGGTTGCCGACGAGGAGGGACTCGATGTCGTCGCCGTCGTCGGTGTGGACGCCCATGAGGTCGTCAAGCTCGTGATGAACATCAGGTACATGGTCAGGGAAAACACCTCCCTCGATCTCCGCCGCCAGCTCGAGAAAGTTCGGGTCGGACTCCGTCATGTCCGTCGGCCGGTTGTCGGCTTCATGAATCAGTGGGAGGAACTCAGAATCCTCCACCTCCTCTGGAGGACCGTCATCAGCAGGTCCAGGCTGCACATCTTGAGAAGTGGCTTCAGCCTCCGCAGCACCAGACGGGTCATCCTCAAGCAGGTTGCTAGGATGTAGTAATAGTCAGGTGATCAGGCCCCCCTTGTCGTCCATGATGGCGGGGAAGAGGGTGTGGAGCACGTGCAGCGCCAGGTGAAGTTAATCAGGGTCAAGAGCAGCTGGATGGAGAGACTGCTTGCCACTCGCGACGGAAGGAGCGGCTGGCGGACGTGAGGAACCAGGCGCCACCAAGGAGGTCGCCGATGATGGTGGGATGAGGTGGGGAATCAGCAAGTTGATCGCGTCCAATGTGTTTTGCTGCAGCGATTCCCACAGCGGCGACTCGTTCAAACCCCAAGGCCCAGTGTTAGCAGCCTGGGGACCCAACACGCCCCCTTGGCCCGCAGCGCGCACACGAGGAGGCAAACGAGGACGGAGTAGCACTCTGGGATCCTCCTGTGGACGCCGCTGGGGACGGAGTAGCCGTCTGTGAGCACCAGAAGGAAGATGAGGTCTAGGGCGAGGTTGCCCGACAAGTGCTGCGCCGCCATGGTGCACAGGAGGTGGACCAGCCATCGACGATGCTGCCGCTGAGGGGGGCAGTAGCAGCAGAGGCAGCAACATGCGACACGGTAGGGCGGTAGGACTGCACCAAAGAGGGGGGGAGACCTTCGGGATGTGTCGCCGTGCCGTTATCACGATCATCATGTGGCCCCCGTGCCTCATCTTGAAGTTGGCTGAGGTGACCGTGGAGACCAGGACGTCGCAGTGGAGGGGGGCGGTCCTGATGTGGTGAAGGCGCCGCGGAGTGGGCAGCGGGTGAAGCACGATCAGGGTCTAGCCAGGCCAGAACATCAGCATCGACGCCAGGGGGCGGGGGATCACCTGAACCTGCCGCCGGCCACGACGGAAGCGCGGGTGGTAAGGCCAGCGGTTGTACTTGCCATGCTCCAGATGCCAACAGGTAGTCGCACTCGTCGTCGCTCATGAGATCGTCCTCGAATGGAGGTGGAAGGCCCTTGACCGATAGCGAAGGATTGTCATAACTTGCATCCTTTGTGCGGAGGTCCTCGTCCGTGGGCGAAGGGTGGTCGGCGTGGGCGGCTGTGCCGTCGTCGGGGAGGTATTCGTACTCCACAGAGGCTTCCTCAGCCGTTCTGGATAGAGGCTTGGTCACCAGCGGGTCGACATCCATCTGACTAAGAGAGGCGCTGGGGAACCAGAAGAGCGGGTTGGGCGCAGGTACAGCGGAAGACACAGGTGCTGCACGCCAGGTCGCAGTAGTAGCCATCCACTGAAGAAGGCGTGCACGATTCTGATCCTCCATCCGAGATGGGTCAGGACGCCATTCAAGCATTTCCATGTGCAAGCGAGTTGTCACAAAAGTCCTGCGAAGGAGAACGGGATCGCTCTGAGAAGTGCCACGCAGAAGTTGCTGACGTAGTTGCTCGCGAGAAGAGGTAGATCCGTACCACCCCCCCATGCAAATTTCTTCAGCTGCTCTTTTCATGTATTGGATCAGGGCGGGGCTGTTGTTCGCGAATAGGGAGGAAAAGCCGCGATAGTGAAGCACCCCGAAGACGTAGTCCACACACCAGTCCCTCCACGTGTCGAAGTCATTCTGGGGGGCAGTGTAGAAGATGGATGGGAGCCAAGAGGATGCCCAGCAAGTGGCCCGATTGGTGAGTTCCCGTCGTTGCCGCTCGGAGTCCTGCTGGGGAGGGCGCCCCAATGACGGAGAAGGAGGACGCGGCGTACTTTCAGTTCCCTCAATATGCGAGGATTGGCTCCCTTGCGCGACTGAGGGTCGGAATTGGGCCTCAGCAGCGCCAGGGGTGACAGGGTGGCGGGGTGAGGCAGGTAAGAAGTGCGTGCCCGCGTGGCACCAGCACACGGGTCGGTACTCTCTGCCTGCCAAAGCCCCCGAAGTATGCGCGCCACTAGGCGAAGGCGAGTCGTGCGTGCCACTGGCCACAAGGCCAGCCACAGGAACTCCAGTCACGAGGTCGAAAGCGCCGCCAATGGTCCTCATGGGCGGAAGTGTGAAAGATGTACACCTACTGTTTGACGAGTCTTCTGCGCTGAGTGAGGCCGAAGATGACGACGGTGAGGACGATGAAGAAGAAGAAGAGGCCGTCGAAGGCGATGAGACCACTGGTATGCGCCTTGGCACCGAAGGCCTGGACCGCCGCCACGGTAGATGATCATGTCGCCGCACCCCGAGGGAAACAGCACGCATAGCAGCCAAGACATGAGGGCGAGCGAAAGCGGGTGACCAGGTCCCAGACGGGGCAGCGCGTGACGCCGCATGGTAGGCGAAGTGCATCACCACTATGTCGAAGACCACCTTGCCGATATCCACCGCGGATCCGAAGAGGCCTAGACGACCGAGCGGGTGATCAGGCCGAGAGAAGCCAAGCACCTCCTCGCAGATGTTGCGGAACTTCGGGCACGAAAGATAGTGCTTGAGCTGGTCTGCCGCGCCCGCGCAACCAAAGCGGCAGGGAAGGCGTCCGCGGTCACCAAGGATGCGGGAAGACGTAGTCCATCCGTTGGCAGCAGATTTCAGATACGCCATAGCCCACAAGGTTGAGCAAGAGCGAAGGCATTTCGCGATGTGGGACCATCTCGCCGCAGGCACCTTAGATGCACCATCACAGTACATGTCGGGATGGGCGAGGGCGAGCCGCACGACCAGTACGTTCCAAACCGGACGAGAGATAAGGTGCTTCTTGACCGCCAACGTTATGTACCTCTGCAGGCCCACACCAGAAGGCTGGACGAGGAGACGATGCGTAGCTGCCTGGCGCGCAATAGACAGCAGCTCGCGTGTGTAAATCGCGGGCTGGAACGGACCGTGTTTGATGTTGAACAGCGTCTCCACGAATGCCTCGCTGCGCCAGAAGGCGGGGTATGGCCGAGATGATGACAACTGAGCGAGTGAGATGTGATCTCCTAGGCGACTGCGCTGACGGTGGAGCCACGAATGCAACCGCTCGAACTCAGGCAGGGTACGGTAAGCAGTACGAAGAAGGGACCCAGTGCTCATCGCCAGCCATGGGGTAATCGTCGGTCCACCCGCCGAGCGCAACTTGAGCCATGAAGACATCGAGAAAGTACCCAATGGTAAGCGAAAAGAACGTGACAAGGCCACAAGTTCGCTCTGCACTAGCCACTGCGGCATCATACGGAATGGGGCGACATACGACAGCACTGCGGTGATGCGGATGTTGTGGTGAACTGGCAAGCGAGACACGGGAAGGTGACTGTGGCCAACCAGCTTGGATCGTTCATGAGCCTTCATCGCAGGAGCTGTCCAGCACGAGTCAGCATCGGCTGCAGGACCAAGAATAAGCCCAAGGCGCTTGAGGGACTCGACTATGTTGATGCGATTGAAGAATGGAACATGTGCACAGAGCAGCGGGCGAACCTCTGATGCCTCAGCTTCCGAGAATGGCTTGTGCAGCGGGACGAGGTTGCATTTGTCGATCCTCAAAGACAGCGTGGCAAATCTTTCGGCAAGAAGCATGATGTCCGCTAAGATGGACAGGCTGAGGATGGCTCTGATGGCTGCACCAATGTCGTCGGCACAAGCTCTCGCAATACCTCTCCTCGGTGCCTCAAGCTGGCGCTGGAGATCGACGAGGAATGGGGCAGTGGCCGCAGCGTAGAGGGAGCCGCTCAATGAGCAGCCCTGGACAATGCCAGACGTAACCCACCAGGCATGGGTAGGAGTATTGCGGACCATTGCAAAAGCCTCGAGCTCTAAGTACAGCTGGTCGATGATGGACAGACAGGCACGCGGCGCCTGCATCTCGTTGAGCACCGCACGCATGAACTCCTGAGAGAGACTGGGGAAAGCAGCGCCATAGTCTAGTGCAACCAAGACAGGGACATTGGATTCGGCTGACGGCACATCTGAGTAGACCCTGCTGACCGTGTCGAGCTCCAGAATGTTCACTCCAAAGTTCCTCTGTGGGATAAAGCCTCGCTGAGAGCGAGGGGCCCAAGTTTTGAGAAGGACACTGAAGCGTGCATTGGTCGTTGCCGTAATGATATTAATATCGGTATTGCGCAGCCCAAGCGCTCTGACCGAGGACGGGGGCCGAGAGCAACCTGCGGCCGCGCTATCCGCAGGGTAATCTCCTTTCGGTCGCCACACTCGGAGCGTATCGTTGGATGACTTGAACAGCGCCTGTCCAGAGAGAATCCACACCATGGCCTCTGAGAGCACCGAGAGACCAAGAGATGATGAGCTCCACGCCGAGTAGGGAATGCCATCTAGGCCCGGTTCTGAATGACGAAACTTCTCGGCGACTGCACGAAGAAGCGACGGGGGCGGTGGCGGTGCAGCATGAAAACACATTGGCTGGACCAGTCCCTTCATATACTCGCGGGCAGCAGGAGCATTGATAGGTTTGGCAGTGAAAATCGTCGCCCAGTGCTCCACGAGCTTGTCGCGCATGTGATTTTTGACTGACGTTGAGGACGCGCCAGTACCTGAATCTTTGATGCCTTGAAGGACCAGCCGACGAGAAAGTGGTGACCAAATAGATGCACGCCTCTCGAGAGCTTGAAGTTGGTGGCGGAGTTGAGGGGTAGAACGTCCACCAGCGAGCTCTGCCTCCAGGTGACGGCGTTGGAGGTCAGCATGACGCACTTGCAAAGCTTCGCTCCACTGCTGGAACGAGGGGACATGGACTAGCAAGACAGTGCCCGACGAGATGTCCACGAAGTCTCTGGCCGTCTGATGCGCAGCGCGGAGGCGAACGGCGAGAGAAACATCATTGCGCCAAACCGCTCGAGAAATCTGCCTCGCTAGAAGGAGCTGAGAGCCCAGTGCCTCGGAGTCGTGCCGCATAAGACGATCGCGAATCTCTCGCGCAACTTCATTAACTGCCCACTTGAAGAGTTCAATCTGCCCGGGAGGTGAGCGGGGCGTGAAATCTAGCTGCCGAGTAACGGTATCCAACAAGTCCTGGAACGCTTTGGACTCGAAAATGTGCCTCGGGATCTTCCGATACCCCTCGGGCTTTGTGGAGCGCTGTGAGAAAAAACAAGACTGAGCTGCGTGGTCGCTCACCTCCTTCTCGGCTAAGGTCTCAGGAAGCCCCAGGACGCGGGGAAAGGCATGACTGTGGCATGCGATCCGACGTGACCTCCATGAGAGGTGCCAATTTCTTAGACCACTTGGCAGCTTGAGCACGCTGGCCTTTACCTGGGCCCCCTCGGCGACCAGGACGGTGGAGAAGAAAAGGAGAGGAAGCAACAACATTGAAGTCCCCATGTACTACCACAGTGGCCGTCAACGGAGAACTTCTGGCAAAACTGATATCTGCCCCAAGCGCCTTGCCTATCTCCAGGAATTGGGCGCTATTGGTACCGTGGTTGTGTACATTGTAGTGGAAGAGATGGTGCCCTTCGCGTTGCAGACGAAGACGGAGCACGCGTCCTGGAACAAGCTCGTCAGCAAGAACCACTGCAGGGCAGGAGGCAGGCAAAACTGCGGCGACCCCGCCTTTCACTAGCGATTCCTCGCAGTGGAAAGAGAAGATGCGCACACCACGATGGGCTTTCCCAAGAAGTCTCGTAATTGCACGGCATCTTGATGCACCTCCTGAAGGCAAACCACCCCATTCAAAAAGTCCAATCGACGGAAGAAGTCGAGCTTCACCTTGGAGTGAGCACCCTGGTACTGAAGAAGCGCCCGCGCATTCCATGAGGTAAAGGAAACCAAACCGCGCCCTCGATGCACACCTCGAAGTAATCTTCCCAGCCACCTAAAGACACCACTCAGCCGATTCAGGCGGAGCGACGATGGCGGCAGCAGCTGCCGATAACTGCTGCTTCGGAAGACCAAGATTGGCGATGAGATTGTCGGCCCAATTGAGCGTGGAGGGTGCGTTGCCAGGATCCGGGCTGATCTTGAGAATCGGGTCCCAGCCAGCCATGACATAGCCTCGGTCCTTGTCAACATACCAGCGCTTTGAGGAATCGAAATCTCTTTGAAGGCGTCCCGAATTTTCCGAGCCTGCATCTCCATGCGAATATGACGCGGGTTCTTGTCGGGGCCGATATGAAGAGCCGTGGACTGTCCGTCTGCTGCGGTGGTCTCGAAGCGCTTCCATTGGCCAGGCCCGAGGCGTTGGGCACCGAGCACTTTGGCAACTCGACGAGCAGCGGGGGCGGGTGCACCAACGAAGTTGATGGAGAAGCTGCGGCTGACGGCCTCAGGGAAAGAGATCTTGAAGAATTTTGGCTCAACACCGACCTCGGTGATCCAATCAGAGAGGGTCTGCTGAACCTGGTCGAGGGCCGTGAGCTTGGCTGCAATGACTTTGATAACACACGGGTCGGCGTCACGATCAAAGCCGGCGGCGGAGAGCAGCGGGGCCTTTGGGACATCATTGGCGACGGCGAGGAGCTCGTGCAGCTTGCTGATCTCGGCCTTGAGGAAGGAAATGTCGGAGTCATGGGTGTCCAGTCTGGTCTCATGGGCACGCAGCCGAATATGCATCCCGTCGATCTGCTCCTGTAGGCGGCGATTCTGACCATCCAGGCAGCAGCATCGTCAACCATCTTGGGGAGGTCCTTGACACCTTGGGCCAGTTCAGCAGCGGACTCGGCGTGCTTGGAGAACTGCTCGGCGAAGGGGTTGATGGCCTCGTCCACCGTGGATCTGATGGAGTCCAGCATCGTCTGCTTGTGTTCGCGTAGCAGCTTGGTGGCCTCCTCTTTCGCCAGGTACCGAAAGTACTCGTCAGGTCCAGTTTCTTCCCAGCCCCAATCTTCATTTTCATCTTCACCATGAGCGCCATGAGCAGGGTCGCCATCAGCAGGGGCAGGGAGATTATCTGCAGAGAGAGCAGCAGAAACACCTGCGCCACCAGGAGGCTGAGCGGTGGTGGTCCCTGAGGCGTCGCTGTTGTCGCCATCGAGGTCGTGCTTCCTCGGGCCCTTCTTCAGCTTCTTCGGCTTCTTGACGCCGAGAGACGCCACAGGCATGCGGCGGCCCGCGCGCGGGGCGCCCCGATCACTGAGCCAGGAGGCTACGGATGGGTCCAAAGCTAATCGCAACACCTCGGTTCCCCGAACCTTCGTTACGTTTAGCCTTGAGCCAAAATTGCTACGGAGAATGAGGAGGAGGAGGACGAGGAGGAGGAGGAGGAGGAGGAGGAGGAGGAGGAGGAGGAGGAGGGGGAGGAGGAGGAGACGAAAGAAGAGGAGGAGGAGGAGGAGGAGGAGGAGGAGGAGGAGGGAGGGGAGGGCGACGACGAGAATGGGGACACGGAGAGGAGCGGAGGGCGACGACGAGGAGGGTGAGGGCGACAGGGGAGGAGGGGGGAGGGGGAAGAGGCGGGGTGCGCCACCGCCCGCCCCTTGGCCCGCCGACGGGGTTCCCAGCAGGCCCAGGGCCCTTTGAAACGCCGCGCCAGCGCCCCAGCTTGGCCCGTGCAGCCGGGGGGGGGGGGGGCACGACACGCGCGAGGGCGTGCCGAGACGAGGGAGGCGACGCTGCTGCGAGCTACCTCGCTGTGTACGCACGGCGGGGGGCCAGTCCACAAGCAGCCTCCCGCAAGAAACTAAACCCAGCCCAGCCCTCCCAATGATGTCCACCGATCCTTGGCGTGAGGACGTCACGCCACGAAGCCCTTCCAGAGCAAAAAACCCTCGAAAGCCAAGCCCTCGAAAGCCAAGAGACCCAGGGCACAGAGGGTGCAGCAGCAAGCGGGGTGTTTCTATGCATGGGCCTCCGCTTGCAGTTCCCGGGCCCCGCTGCGGCGCGGGACCTGCAAAGTGGCAGACCAAAAGCGTGCGAGCCAGCTCTGGTTCACCCCCTGGATCCTTCCTGGTCGCCCCGGGTCTCCCAGATCGCTCGGTCCCCCGGGGCGCCCCCCCTCCCAGGAACGCGAGGGGGGGGGTGGGGAGGGAAACGCTGCACCCCTGGCCCCCCCCCTGAAGAAACACATCGGCGAAAACTGGCAAGGTCCATGGCAAGCAAGTGTCCGAGGGAGCAGAAACGAACGCACGGGCCATGGCCCCTCCCTGGGAGGAGACACAAGGAGAATGGAAACAGGGACAGACTGCGAGGGACACATAAAAAAGCGTTTCAAGGGCAACGGGGTCGGGGAGAGGAAGCCGCACCCCGAATGGGAACAACAAAACAAAAGAGGGCGACGGGAAACAAAACGGGATCTCCCCTGCTGTGCTGAGTCTAGCACGCAAGTCGCCCACAACGGGAAACAAAATCACCGCGCACAAAGGACACGCAGCAAAAACCACGACATCCCCCTTTTCTGGCAAGGGCGGGCCACGGCCATATGAACCGGCTCCTCGACAGAAACCTGAGGCACAACCCAGAACCCAGAGCCATCTCCCAGGCTACTCCAGATTTCGTAATAAAAGGGAGGGGGTCTGGACCCTCCAAGACAAGCCATTTCAGACCTCCCCTGTGGGAGAACCCTCCAAAACATCGCCCCCAGACCCACCCAGGCCCTCCAAGAGAGCCTGGAAGAGACCCCCCCCCGAAATGAGACCCCCCTTCCCTTTATTACGAACTCTGGAGCAGCCAAAGCGCTTCCCTCCAGCCGAATCTGGGCCGTGCGGCGTGGGTGTCCGGGTCCGCCAGGAGCGACTGTATGGCCACCAGGATGGCGCACACCTCGGCCGTGACGCGCGCCGCTTTCGGCGGCGTGCGAGGCTCCCCCTCCCCAGGTGGCGCCACCCCTCGGCGTGTGCCCACTTCCGATGGCTTGCCTGTGGCCCCAGGACGGCACCGAAACGCCGCGAGCCAGCACGGGCGGGCACGAATAGAGAAGGTCGGGCCCTCGAGGTCCAAGCCTCAGGTCGGGCATGTCCCCCTACAGGCGGATTTTGGAGGAACGATTCGAAATACCCCCAAACATGCCCCAACGTAGTCAAAAACAAATAGACAATCCGTCCCCAGACTATTTTTTGACTGTGTTTGATCACTGCCCCTGTAGAGGGACACGCCCGACTCAATCCAAGCCCAGAGGCAATCTGGCGTGATCGACGAGCGTGCTGAGGCGGAGAAGATGCGGCGCGCCACGGTCACCATGTCACGCGGCGGCAAATCCAACCCTCAAGGCTGCGCGGTGCCATCCCGATGTACCGCAGAGGTGTGGCGAGACATTACACCAGGTTCTCAACCCCCCTGAAAGGCCACCATCAAATGAGGAGGAGGAGGAGGAGGAGGAGGCACGTTACGTTTCTCCTTGCACTGGGTGGCCATGGCCACGGGATGATTTACGAGAGGCCCGAGCATACGCCCAAGCATAGGGATGTATGGACTCCTCCTCGAGTTCTGAGACGGCCAATTGAGCACTGCCTGTCCTGTGCTCACGACGGGAACTCAAATTCTGACTGGCCGTTCGCTTCACGGCTCGGTGCACAACATATCGATCCCCGCTGCAGCGAAACACATTCCCTTGGCAAAGACCCACCAGCACTGCCCATCCCTCCAGCCTTCCTCTGGCTACTAGCTTCTCTATACATTTACCCCTCTCTATGTGTCTCCCCCTTCTCCCCTTCGTCCGTAAAGCAGCTGCCCCCAAGATTGACAAGCCCAAGGCGTCGAGAATATCAGGGATGTGCCCTGGGAAATCGAAGAAATACCGAACATCGGCACCAAGAGAAGCAATGCCTAGCGCCAGACTCCTATGGACAAAACTGCCAAGGGGAGGGCCACAGAAAAGAAGACCACCACCCAGGACCCCAAAGAAAGGCCCCCGCGCGGGACCCTATCTGCCCCTACAGCCAACCCGTACAACAAGCATTCGCGGTAAGATGCAAGTCCTTCGGACGCCCATGCCGAGGCTCTTCGCGCGGGGCTGGCCATCGAAAAGGGTTGAGGATGGACCGGAGATGACCGAAAAGATAAGGATGCAAGGGCACCCTTGGGAGATCGGTCCTCCTTCCTGGGGGGACCAAAGAGTGGTACCAATACCGCTACTCCCCGGACCTCTCCCAGGTTGCGCTCGGACCAGAATTTCGAGGCGAATCCAACGGTGGCGACGAGGGCCTCCGAGGAGGCACACAAAGTGGAAAACGGGCGAAGGGTAGCCTTTGGGTACCTAGGGGAACGAAGAATGACATGATCATAAAAACCCAGAGGTCCGCGCGGATTTCTCGGATCGGCGCTGGACCCCCCTCCCTGGCGCGCGGAGCGCGCAAGGGGTGGCGCCGGCGGCGCCGCCAAGGGGGTCCAGCGCGGATCCGAGAAATCCGCGCGGACCTCCGAGCTATCATGTCTATGTAATTGTTAGTTCTCCTGGTACCGTTTCCTCCTCTGACTTACTATGCGGGTTGACTGTATTCGCTCCCGGATGTGCTGTGGTGCCAAAACTCGCCGGGCGGGCCCTTTCCCAACTCCGCGCTTCAGCGCTCTCCGCCCCCCTCCTTCGGCGGCCGCTCACGGGAGCCTCCCATACCATCTTGCTGGCTCTTGCGAATCGACGCTGACCGACGCCAAATCGACGCTGAATCGACGCTAGCCACCGCGAAATCGACACGACATCGGCGCTTCCTCATCGATTCCCAGACGCTAGCGCACGCTAACGCACTCGAGCGACGGAATTGCGAGGACGTACAAGGGCAGGAAGGCCCATAATCGAATCGATAAGTCGGATCTCGGATCTGCAATCTAAATGAATCGGATCGGCGAAAATCGGCAGTCGAGTCGGGAAAAGTCGAATCCGCGGAAATCGGCAAGCTAGTAGGCCTCAACTGAGCAACCAAAACCCACATCGGAATCCCAAGTCGAATCGAATCGGAAGCGGAGGCCATCAACATCGAATCGCATCGAATCGGAGGAATCGAAGCGAGTCCTGCAAGGGTTGCTACCCGAACCCCTCCTGACCCTCCCTCCTCCTCCTCCTCCTCCTCCTCCTCCCTCCTCCTCCTCCTCCTCCTCCTCCTCCTCCTCCTCCTCCTCCTCCCTCCTCCTCCTCCTCCTCGTCCTCGTCCTCGTCCTCGTCCTCGTCCTCGTCCTCGTCCTCGTCCTCGTCCTCGTCCTCGTCCTCATCCTCATCCGTCCTCATCCTCATCCTCATCCTCATCCTCATCCTCCTCCTCCTCCTCCTCCTCCTCCTCCTCATCCCTCATCCTCATCCTCCTCATCCTCATCCTCATCCTCATCCTCATCCTCATCCTCATCCTCATCATCATCCTCATCCTCATCCTCATCCTCATCCTCAATCCTCATCCTCATCCTCCTCATCATCATCATCATCATCATCATCATCATCATCATCATCATCATCATCATCATCATCATCATCATAATCATCATCATCCTACTCGTCCTCGTCCTCGTCCTCTTCCTCCTCCTCCTCCTCCTCCCTCCTCTCCTCTCCTCCTCCTCCTCCTCCTCCCTCTCCTCCCCTCCCTCCTCCTCCTCCTCCTCCTCCTCCTCCTCCTCCTCCTCTCCTCTCCCTCCTCCTCCTCCTCCTTCTCCTCACTCCTCCTCCCTCCTCCGTCCTCCCTCCTCCTCCTCCTCCTCCTCCTCCTCCTCCTCCTCCTCCTCCTCCTCTCCTCCTCCTCCTCCTCCTCCTTCCTCTCTTCCTCCTCGTCGTCCTCCTTCTCCTTCTCCTTCTCCTCCTCCTCCTCCTCCTCCCTCCTCCTCCTCCTCCCTCCTCCTCCTCCTCCCTCCTCCGTCCTCCCCTCCTCCGTCCTCCTCCTCCTCCTCCTCCTCCTCCTCCTCCTCCTCCTCCTCAAGCTCTCCCCGTGCAAGGCCGCCGTCGGCCACGCAGACGCCTTCCCGCGGGGGCAGCCGAGCGGGCCCCGCGTCGTAGGACGGAGACCAGCCCGCGGCGGCGCCCGTCGCCCGCAGGAGGTCGAGGCCTCGGCGCCAGATTTGGACGCCCGAAATGGGCACGGCAAGAGAAAGTCGGGGAGACGTAAGACCCGGTTACGGGGGACTCGGAAATCCCCGACGAGGTCGTCAAAAAAATGACGAGGCCGAGCCTGCATTTTGACGAGGCCTCCCGCTGCAGACATCCCACGAAACTCCTCCTCGTCAAAATCCGAGTCGCGGTCGTCAAAAAAACGATGGCGAACCCGAGTCCTGGCAAACCCGGGTCTTACGCTCCCCCGAGAAAGGTACAACGCCCAACAACGAATGTTGTCCCAAACCAACAGCGGCCGCTGCTGGGCAGGCGGCTTTCTGTCTCCAATGGGCACAGGCCGCGGCGCCGCGGACAGCGAGTCCCGTTCAAAATGAGCAGGCACTGCTACTGGGCAATGTGCCCACTCTTTCCGTACCAATTTCGTTCGTGCCGGCCAGAGGCATCGGCGAGGGCGGGAGCAGAGGAGCGAACCACCGCAGAGATGTTCCAACGCACTGAAGAAATCAAGGCGGAGGTGTTTCGCAATGTTCAGGCCTCCAGAGGCCCTCGCCGGGCCCCGGGACTGTCAAAGAACGACTCAGGATGAAAACCGGTCCTGGAGAATGGGTCGAGACTTCCGGGGACCCCGTATTGAAAGAATCACGACATCAGATCTCTGGGACTGCTGCGTAAACACCACCTTTTGGAGGGCCGCGAGGCTTTCTCTAATCGGTGCTGCAACCCCTTCCCTGCCACCAACGCCGCCAGGGGGGCTCCAGCGCAGCTCCAAGAGATCCGTGCGGACCACCGGATTCTGTGTTGCCCTTCACAGGGGAACATCTACCTCGGGGGGCGAGAGCGGGGAGATTGGGGAGGGGAGGGGACTGGGCTGGTTGGCGCCCACCGTGGGCTGCGAGTCGTTGCGGGGACAGCAACCAGAGAACAGCCGGGAAGTGAGGCCATCCTCGGCTGAACTCGCTCAGTCTCCGCCGCCCAGCCTCCAGAAGGCACCTCGAGCGAGTTGGGGGGAGGCACCCTCCCCGAGCGGCCTCCCACAGCACAGGATCCGACCGGGAACGAGGGGCCCCAAGACTCCAAGGGGTGGCTCCTGCTAACCGCACGGGAGCCTTCCCAGGGTCATCCAGGCATACCGCGGTCTGCCTATGTGGTCGGGCGGCGACTGCCCGACCCGCTCCCACTGCGCCCCGGGCCCCTGCAGGGCCGCACCCGCCCCCGCCGCCCCAGCCTGAGCTTCGGAGGCGTGGGCCGACAGAGGGCCAGAACCGGCAGCAGAAAAGCGCCCCGCGGAGAAACAAGACGCTGGCCTGCCTGCCCCCCTCCCCGGCCCGCACCACCGCCACCGCAGCCCCACCCACCCTCCCTCCCCCTGCCCTCGCATTCCGCCCTGCGGCGTGCCAGAACGAGCTCATAGGGCCGGGCGAAAGAGGGACGGGGGAGGAAGGGAAAGGGGGAGGGGGAGGGGGCAGGAGGGGGGGGAAAGAAAGGACGAGGAAAAAGAGGGAGGGGAGAGGGCAGGGGAGGAGGAGAAGGGAGAGGGCGCAGGGAGGCACCAGGGAGAAGCGGGCGGAACGCCTCCGCCTCGGGCCCCCCTGCCACCCCTGGCTCTCCGAGGAGGGCCAGGGCAGGCAGGCCACGCCCGCGCGCGGCTGGAGGAGGAGCTGAGGAGGAGGCTCCGCACCGCGGCTGCCACCCTTTGGGGCGCGCCGTCCCAGAAGGCCCTGGTGCTAGAGACGACGGCCGCAGCTGCTGGCAGCCTGGAGCACCCGGCCCGGCTGCCACGAGAGACCCTGCCGGCACCTCCGCCCCCATGCCTGGAGCCTTGCGAGGGCCTGCTCGCGATGAAACCCAGGCCCCTCAGACACCCAGGACGTGAGCAAGGCTTTCGCCCGAGGCCGCAGGGGCCCGACAGAGCATCCGCTGCGGACGCTTCGCCCACGAGCACCTGCCACCCCAGCGCGTGAGGACCGGCAGGCCCACCCGCAGGCGCGGGACGGACCGCTGCGCAAGCAAGACGGCGCGAGACGGGGAGCTTTGAATGGGGCCCTGGGACACACAAGTAAACACACACACACAAATAACAAGATTCCCCACAGTTTCCTATATTTCCGGGTTTTTTGTCCTCCCCCACTTCCCATATTTTCCCATATTTTCTGCGAGTCGACGATTCATTGTGTCTGCGTGTTTTTTTCTCCTCCTGAAGCTTGAGGGCCAGGCCCACAGGGAGGTCCTGGCTTGGAAAGGCCCACTGTTGGGCGAACGAATGGCCCTCCAAAACCCTCGCGCGAGTGCTGCAAGACAGCGCCCCGTGGTTAGCTCCTGCGCGCGGAGCTCGTAGGCTGCCACGCGCTCGCCTGCATGCCGCGCTTGCCAAGAGGAGGAGGGCGGAGGGAGAGGAAAAGGAAGAGGGAGAGGAAGAGGGAGACCGGAGGAGGTGATAGGGGGCAGGGATGAAATCTGGGAAAGGCAACGGATGGGGAAGGGGGGAGGGAACTCAGTGGGCCCTGGAAACGACATGGCCGTTTTTGTTACCGGTTCCGTGTTGCCGTTTTTGTTGCCGGTTCCGACGCCGTTTATTTACCGGTTGCGTCGCCGTTTTTTGACCGATTCCGGCTCCGGTTCTAATCCTGGAGCCGTTTTTTTGCCGTTTCCGGTCGCCGTTTTTTTTGCCGTTTCCATTTTCAAGGGACATTGTTTTGGAAACGGTGAAAAAACGGCCCTGCCGTTTCCGGGGCCCACAAAGGGAGGGAACGAGGACAAGAGACGGGGTTATGTTGCTCCCATCGTACTGAAGGACCACATCCCAACAAGAAGTTCGAGCACCCAGAAAGGCACCGAAACGGTGTCGAACGCGTATCTGTCGCCTCGCAGGGCCTGGCGCGTGAAGACCCCCAAATTTCGGTCCTCTCTCTGTGCTCGAAATTCTTTTCCGGAGGTCCAGGCTGAAGCGGGCTGGAACATCATGGGAGGAGGGGGCGGGCCGGAACGGGGAGGGGGGAGGGGGGCGCGAGGGACATCGAGCGAGCGTGGGAGCCGCGAGGGCGGCGGAGAGCAGACGGCGAGGAGGAGGAGGAGGAGGAGGAGGAGGAGGAGGAGGAGCGCGGAGGAGAACAGGGGGGAGCAGAAAGAGCACAGGAAGGAACGGGGAGGAGGGGGAGGAGGGGGAGGAGAAGGAGGACGAGGAGGATTTTTTTAAACATCGACGTGAGCGAGCACCGCAAGGGTCAGCGGGGGGCCAGCGCTGGACCTGACCAGCGCTGGACCCCCCGACCGCGCAGTGCAACCCGTGGGGCTTGAAGCGGACCGCGAAGGACCATGCCACGAGCACCACGACGCGGAAATGGAGCGGGAAGGGCTGCACCTCCGAGAGCCTGAGGAGCAGCGGAACGGGCCGTACTGTATGCAGTCACATGGTCTTGCAGTCCGTGGTCCCGAGGCCGCCATCGCCAGGCGGAGCAGGCGGAGGGGAGGCGGCATCCCCCCTGTCCGCCCTGCCGCCTGGCCGAACCCGTCGCTTGCTGCTGCCGCCGAGCCGCGGCGAGGAACAGCGGAAGCCGCTCGCCCCAGCGCTGCGGTCGGCCGCGAAGGGCTGGAAAGAAAGATCCCCGTCGGCAGAAACTCCAGGAAACGCGTCCACAGCGCGATCGCCAGGACGGTCATCGGGAAGGTCAGCACGGGCTGGAGGATCGGCTTCCGCAGGGCCTCCGGGATCGGCATGATCTGGCGGCTGCTGCGAATCGTACAGCAGCGCGTCGACGTCGCACGGCTTGAGGGCGGGGAGGTGCTGGACCGCACCAGGCCCGAAGCAGGGGGCCTCCACGTTCCACACCGTCGGGCCGACGACCATCGACTCGAACACCTGAGGCTCGGGCGGCGTCACGGCGTCGAAGGGCTCGATCTCCTCCGGAACCGGCTTGCCCAGGCCAGCAAGACCCGGGCCCAGGCGCGGACCGCGCCGCACCGCGCGCAGCTGGCGCGGGCTGGCGCGCGCCACATCCGTTCCAGGGGCCGCTGCATGGAGGGCCACGTCCCTACGCAGCTTGTCCGCGGGCACGGGGTGCCGCCCCATGCAGCAGCGCGGCGAGCGCGGGGGCCACGGCGTCCCGCCGCTGGACCACCCCCTCCTCGCCGAGCGCGCCCGAGAGCGCCGCGTGCTCCGCGCGGGCCGAGGCGAGCTCCCGTGTAAGCCGCTGGATCAGAGCGTCGGCGGACGCCCGAGCTCCAGCAGCACCACGAAGGCGCCGACGGCCCCCTCCACCTCCAGCTGCTGCACACGCCTCAGGCGAGGCGGCAGCAGCATCCCGCGCCATCGCGGGTCCCGCGCGCCGAAGGCGTGCGGAACACCAGGCCTTGAGCCGAAGTGGCTACGGAGGAGGAGGAGGAGGAGGAGGAGGAGGAGGAGGAGGAGCAGGGCGGGAATCTCAGAAGGACGAGGAGGACGGGACGGGTGGGGAGGAGAGGGACGAGGACAACGAAGAGGAGGAGCGCCGCTTCTGCTTGCCGGGAAGGACTCAAGGCTGAAGACGCCGGGATCGAGGTGCCCGAGGTGCAAGTGGGCGGGAGCGCACACGCGAAAGCACAACGAGAAGCTTGAGCCACGCACACTCCTAACATGCAGAAGCTATTCGTCCTCCTTCCTCCTCTTCATCATCCTTCTTCCTCTTCGATGATCCTCCACCTCCTCCTCCTCCTCCTCCTCCTCCTCCTCCTTCTTCTTCCTCCTCGCGGGAAACTATTCATCCTCCTTCCTCCTTCCCCCTCCTCGATGAGCCGTCCCCCCTCCCGGTCCTGCCCTCCCCATGGGGCCCTGCTTTTCTCCACGCCTCCTTCCATGTCTCACTCCCTCCCTTCCTCCCTTCCCCTGCCCGCCAGCCACCCGCTCCTCTCATCCACATCTCCATCCCTACTGGGGGGGGGGCGGGAGGGCACCGGGGAGGAGGGGGAGGGCCATACGGGGGAGGGGGGAGAGGGGTACAGCGCAGACCCATGCCGAGAAACGCCCTGCTTGCCTCCAGGGTGCCATCGGAGTCTTGGTTGTCGATGGTTTTGCTATGGAGAGCGTGACGCTCCCACACCAAAAGATCAGTGAGCGTCCTGGGGTATCAGGGTCTGGGTTTCCTGTGAAAGGTTTCTTGTGGTCGGGCGGTCGGGCCTGGCCCCTACTGTCGTCGCGACATGTGGCTCCTGGTCGTGGCGGTCTTCACACATGCCCTTGGCGCGTAAGAAGTGCATGATGTCGTCTGCCCATCGCTTTCGTTGACCTACATGCCGCCGGTGCGCTGGGCGCGGGTCGTGTGCGCGTGGTTCCCATGAGGCACCTAAAAAGTCCACCTGCCGCAATCGTGTCGCCACACGGGATGCCCACTTCCATTTCCGTTTGAAATATAGATCATCTCATTTTTCCACCCAGAGAGGAGGGGGGGACATAGGCGAAGGCAGGAGGAGGACGTGGGGATTGCACCCCCCCCCCTCTGGCTCTTGAGCCCTCAGCTGCTCCCTCCCCCTCTGCTCGCCGCACCCCTGGCTCCCTCCCTTCCCCTCCATCTCGCTCCCCTCCCCCTCCCTCCCGCGGCTCCCCCTTCGTTCCTGCTACTCCCTCCCCCCCTTCTGAGCCTGCTTTTTCTTTTAAGACTCTGGCAAGTTTGCTTGCATGGCATTCGCCCCCCCCCCCCCCCCCCGCCCCCCCCCCGCTCCCTCGCCCCTCTTCTGACGAAGACAAGCGTGCAAGTGCCTTTCGACTTGCGTTCAGTCCGCACGTGCAAGTCGTTTGCGGCTTGCTTCAGGTTCAGCCCCCCCCCCCGACCATGCAAGTAAACTTACTGGGGTCTCATAAATACAGTCTCTCTCCACGGGAAAACTGTGGACCGGAAGGCCGCGTCGCCCGAACACCGCTGGGGATCGCGAGGGACGGAGCCAACTTTCTCGCTGCTGCCCTGAGCCGTGCCATCAGCGGGGGCAAGAGACTGCGTGGCGTTGCCGAGGCCGCAGCATATCTGGCCGTCGGGGAAGACGTTGGGGTGGAAGACCTCAGGAAATCCCAAGGCACACATATGTTTACTCATACCCGACTCTGCTCACCAGATCCTGGCGTGACGCAGCGTCACAGCTGGACAATCATATCTCTACAAAGAAGGACCCTGGATACAATAATCGAACCCACACGGAGGCGTGGACCGAGGGATGTGGCGTGCGTGTTCGCTGCTGCTTGTCCGAGGCGCGTGTCTCCCCGCCGTCCCTTTTCCCATCCTTCCGCGGAGCTCGCCTTAAGTCGGGCCTGTCCCCCTACAGGCCGATCTTGGACGAAAAATAGAAAATACACCAAAAATACGAATAACAAAAAAACATGTCAAACAAATAGTCCCCAGACTATTCTTGGACTATTTTTGAGGAGTCCCCCTGTAGAGGGACAGGCCCGACTTAAAGCTCGCCCCAGGAATGCTGTTGCACAAAGGGAGCTGCGCCCCCCCCCTCTGACCTCGTTGCGGAAACGGACGGTCGGCGGCTTGTCCGGGTACTCCGGGGGAAAGGCCATGTCCAGCTTCCACCTGGACGGGAGAATAGAGGCCTCCTAGTTATGGGGTCCGAACAGATGGGATCGGAGGATCGCGCCGCATCGGCGATGCATCGACGATGCATCGGCGATGCATCGTGCATCGCCGACGCCGTCGCCGATGCCTCGGCGACGTCGGCGGGGGGAACCACGGGCTCCGCACCGAGCCGCATCGCCGATGCATCGGCGGTGCGGCGCGATCCCCCGACGCCATCTGTAAAGGGAAATTAGGACACACAAATAAATACACACAAATAAAAATAGTCCCATATTTTCCCATATTTTCTGGGTTTTTGTCTTCCCCCCCCAATTCCCATATTTTCCCATATTTTCCTGGGAATCGAGGATTAATTGTGTCTGTGTGTTTCTTTTCCTCTTGAATCTGCTCCGACCCCATCTAGGAGGCCTAGAGAGAATTAGGAGGCAACTGCTGGGAGGTTTTCGTCGGAAGGATTGAGGAGGATTACGCCCCATTGGGGGGCTGTTACGCCAGAGTGGGCCTCGGATTAAGCGGGATCAAGCCGGATTAAGCGGGATCAAGCGGGATTAAGCCGGGGATTTCGGCCTAGGGCCAAATCAGAATTTCACCTCCCAGGATTTGCATCCGAAAGAGAAGGAGAAGGGGGGAGGGCTTTCATGGGCCCTGGAAACGACAAGGCCGTTTCTGTTACCGGTTCCGTTTTGCCGTTTTTCTGCCGGTTCCGACACCGTTTTCTTACCGCTTCCGTCGCCCTTTTTTGACTGGTTCCGGCTCCGGTTCCAATCCTGGAGCCGCTTTTTGCCGTTTCCGGTCGCCGTTTTTTTTGCCGCTTCCACTTTCGAGGGACATTTTTCTGGAAACGGTGAAAAAGCGGGCCTGCCGTATCCGGGGCCCACAAAGGGGAAGGCATGGCACAGGCGCCAACATGCTGCTCATGTCCAACAGCCCTGCTCACAAGCGACAGGTCGCGTCCATGGGCCCTGCCCATGCCGCATGCCAGGGGCGCGGCTGCAGCGACGAGGCCGCTGAGACTCCCAACCCACCACGTGTCCGCCGTGGGAATACGCGCAGCGCTCGAGATAGATGGGGACGACGACGAGGCAGAGGACAACACCGAGAAGGAGAATGTGGTGTCAATGAAGGGAGAGGAAAGAGGACGACGACGACGACCATCATCGGAGGGGTAAGCAGGAGCTTGTTGGGCAAATACGATCAGCAACACGAAGGCAGAGAGCGCACTGGCGGCGGAGGCGGAGCAGATGTCGTTCAGCAGGGATGGGGGATGGGGGCGGCGGGGAATCCCACTGAGGCGTATTGTAAGGCTCCACGGAAAGAGGCTGAGGTAGGTGGGGCCATATCTAGCGAGGATGAATTTGTATGTGCTATATAGAGAGCTCGCGGGCACCACGATCAGGAAAACGGATACCAGACGCGTTCTGAACAAAGGGGGATCCTGTACCGGCGAACCTCCCCGAGCCCCTGAGTCGCTTCAGCGCCTTCCTCAGCCTCGACGCCACATTTGGGGAAGCCAAGGACCCTATCTTCGAGGCTGGCTGCGACGGCCCCCGAGCGCCAGCAAGCAAGGGCGAGCTCCAGTCCGAGAGCGCACCCGGCGCGGGCGTCACGTGGCGGCCGCCCACGTCGATCATGTGGCCAGGGCTGGTCGCGCGAGGACCGCGGAGATATCGGCGCTCGTGCCCTTCATCCGCAGGCCGCGAAATCAATTCAGAAGTCGCCAATCGCGAGCACACATGGCGCTAATGACTCGCCCCCGAACATCGCGCCCGAGATGCGCCGTTGGCCTCGAACGCATTGCATCATCTGACTGAGAATCACCATGTGATGTAGGTCACCATCGCGGCGGCCGCCTCCGCAAACGACGAGAACTGGATGGCCTCCTCGTGCGATCTCGGCGGTTATTCCGCATGTCCGCACTGGCCGCCCACTAAAACGCAGAAGCCGAGACGCGGTCAATAATGCACCTCAAATAATCAGCGTGCCGATCACCCGAAAAGTCTCCCACGCAGCCTCCGCTGAGGCCAGAATCGATGTCGGCTGCATCTCCACCTCTACCATATCGCCCTTTTGCACAGTGTCACTCGCATCCCCGCCCAACAATATAGAACAACACCACTCCAAGACAAGGCACGCCATGGTGCCGGCACCGCAGAACATAGTCCCCACGCCTCTGGGAGAATCAGCGAACTCACGGCGTCGGCACACGCGCCAAGGCGTGCCGAGGTTTTGTTCAGTCTACGTTCGTGCTCCCATTGCAACAGCACGAGATGGTGGACAGGACGCACGTATCCCCCAACATCGGGCCTCCATGCAGCACCCCGGCACACTCCAGCTTCGAGTATGGCCACGCCGCAACTTGTGCAAAACGTGGCCACAATGCTGCGCAACCCACATATGGAAACGCCCGCGGGAAGTCACAGGATACCGGCACTCGGCACCAGTCGGCCGCGCAACTCCTCATCACCTCGATGCCCCCTTGACAGTACAACTGCCCCCAAACAAGGGCTCCTAAGTTCGCGCTTCGCGCTGCGCGAAGCGCGAAGCGCGAATAACTTCGCGCTCTCGCGCCGCCCCCCAAGGGGGAGAAGAGGAAGACGAGGAGGAGGGGGAGGAGGAAGGAGGACGGCGAAGCGCGAATAACTTCGCGCCCTCGAGGGAGCCCTTACGCAACTCCTCATCACCTCGATGCCCCCCAGACAGTACAACTGCCCCCAAACAACTGCAGCAGGCGCGAGCGCTCATCCGCGCGCAGATCGCGCTGCACGTGCAGTCGACGACGCGGCTCACGATCTGGCGAACCAACTTACGTAGATGACTTCCCCAGCGCCACCCGGCGCCAGAGGCGCAACCAGCTGCACGCAACAGACTTCTCAACAGGCCCCTTCCTTCAACCCCCATGCTTCGGGAAAGGGGGGGGCGGCGGGAGGGGGGGGACCTGCAACGCAAGGAGCAACATTGAGGCGACCGAGGGGGCGGTGGTGCTCGGCCGAGCGCTCCAGTGCCTCCTCCATGGGATCTCTCACAGCCCTCCACCCTGACCTTCCAGGAGGGCAACAAAAATAGCACGCGACCTAAAGACCTATCCCAGAGCTAGTCTACGTCTTGGTTTTAGGCTGCTTCGTTCAGCTTGTTGAGTTTTTAGGGCTCCAGTGCTAAAACATAGCTCCCTGGAAGGTCAGTAGAGGCCTCCTAGATGGGGTCCGAGTAGATGGGGTCGGATGATCGCGCCACATCGCCGATACATCGGCGATGCATCGGCGATGCATCGGCGATGCACCAGCGATGTATCGTCGACGTGGGTGATGCATCGGCGACGTCGACGTGAAGCAAATCGGGCTGCACATCGAGCCGCATCGGCGACGCATCGGCGATGCGGCGCGATCCTCCGACCCCATCTACTCGGACCCCATCTAGGAGGCCTAGAGTCAGGGCCCTCCCCTCCGCTCGGCTGCACGATAGGCGCGCCCAGCCGGCGCCCCGCGGCCGGCCACGGCCGGGGCCGCCCGGCACGGCCGCCCGACTTACAAACCTATCCCAGAGCTCTTATACGTCTTGGTTTTAGGCTGTTTCGCCCAGCTTCTTAGGTTTGTAGGTCTCCAGTGCTAAACAAAAAAATAGCTCCCTGGGAGGTCAGGGTCCTTCCCCCCCCCCGGCTGCACGAGGCGCGCCCAGTCGGCGCCCCGCGGCCGGCCGGGGCCGCTTGGCACGGCCGCCCCGCTCCGCGGGCGGCCCCTAAAGCGCCTCTCTGCCACGCGGTGGCCCTCCCCACCGGCCGAGGGCACGGAGGAAGGGGCCCCAGGACACACAAATGAAGACACACAAAGAAAAAGCTTCCCCCTATTTCCCCATATCTTCTGGGGTTCTGTCTTCCCCCCCACTTCCGAGGAGGAGGAGGAGGAGGAGGAGGAGGAGGAGGAGGAGGAGGAGGAGGAGGAGGAGGAGGAGGGGAATCGAAGATTAATTGTGTCTGTGTGTTTCTTTCCCTCCTGACCAACGGCCAAGGGCATGGAGGGTGGCGCCCGACGCTTTGCGCGGGAGGCGCGGCCGCCCGCCGCCCCCCCCCCTCCCCCCGGGGAGGGGCCCTCCGGCGGCCCCCGCCAGCGCGCAGCCGGCGCGGGCCGCCGCTGTCAGCTCCCCCGACCTTCCAGAGAGCTATTTTTTGGCACGGGAGGCCCAAAAACCTAAACAACGAAGCGAAGCAGCCTAAAATCAAGACATAGAGCAGCTCTGGGATAGGTTTTTAAGTCGCATGCTATCTTTGTGAGCCCTCCTGGAAGGTCAGGGTCCTGGCGGGCGTCGGCCGGGACGGCTTCTCGGTGGCCGTCGCAGCCGCAGGGCCGGGAGCTCTCTCGTGCTCGCACGCGTCGCGTGGCGGCAGCCCCCTGGCGGCACGCTGCGGCTGTGCCTTGGCCGTGCTGGCAGCGTGTCGCTCCGCGTCGTGGGACGGGAGCCTGGGAACAGTTACCAGCCTCGAGCTGATCCCTGCCCCTAAGGCTGACACGCCAAAAGGCGACGACAATCTTAGGGATGCGCCCTCCAAAAAGAAGGGGACTCCCTAAGACTGGCATCGTGATGAGGAGATGCCCAGCATAGGGATAGGGATATGTTCCAGGCTGGTAAAAAAAGCTTGAGACGTGGACGCTGGGGTTATCTTGCTCCCATCGCACTTCAGGACCACGCACCCCAGAAATCATTTCGAGCACCGCGAAATGTGTCGAAAGAGTGCCGGAACAATGTCGAAATAGTGTCGGGCGAGTGTCTCCCAGGGCCCGACACGCGAAAACCCCGGAGTTTCGGTACTCTTCTGGTGTTCGAATTCCTTTCCGGCGGTCAAAGCTAAAGTAGGTGGGAACATCACAAGCCTTGCAAGCTGGCAGCGTGTCGCTCTACTTCGTGGGGCGGGAGGCTGGGAAAAGCTTGAGACGTGGACGCTTGGGTTGGGTCGGGCATGCCCCCCATACAGGCGGATTCTGGAGGAAAAATCGAACATTGCCAGA